TCCCTATTGATCCGGGTTGTGGGCAAAGGCTGCACTATTGACAGGAAGACAGAATATGTCGGAGGGGCAATATTTCATACATTTGGCCTGTTCACTCCATCACTGTGAGAGGGTGTTTTTCTGGGCTGTATATAATAACACGTGTGCTCTTTATTTCCCTCAGATCAATGGTAATGCGAGGGGGGCCACACAAGATGGATGCCACGGGCAGGTTAACCTATCGACTGCTCAACAGAGACACACAGACCAAGACAAGGGAGACCAATCCATTTACTGAGATGAACCCAAGCTCGTTGCGTTTTGAATCGCTCTGCTTATTGCACCCATCTGCTGCAGCTCAACGAAACTTCTGCAAAACTGTAATGCTTTATTTAACATCTCCTGTTATTAACTTTCATAGGTTTATCTTCTGTTTATGCATCTCGGAGGAGTTTTTCTCTGTTAAATATATGATTTTTCTGATTGATTCAGAGACGACGGTAAGAATTGTTTACACTTTCTGTCTGATGCTTGTAAATCTTAAAGCTGGTTGGAAAATTTCAAAGGATGGAAAAAGTGCCAGTGGGCTGCCTGGTGACCAAATCCTGGAGACAGGATAGGAGGCAGACGGGAGGGCAGGCTAGCCCACACAGGTGGCCCGGATCTGGACCAGGTCAGCCTCGCCCTCGGACAACAAGCCAGCTAATCTCACTCTCACGCTCCAAGTTTGTGTAAGTCACTTACCCACAGCTTTTCATCAAGAAAAAAAAGTGTAAAAGTAGAATTTAATTTAAAACACATGCCAACTTTGATTTCATTAGCGTTTTGTTAAAATCTACACACTATCGCTTTGAATCATATGATCTTCAACATAAAGAAAATTATTAGTAAGTCTCAGATTTGATTAAAGGTAGGTTATGATGGCGAGGGAGGCCTTACATTGTAAAAGTTTCAATTAATTAAAGTGCACTGTGCTTGAATTCACTCTGTAAATGCACCTTTTGTGATGCTTTGGAACAGATATGTTAAGTGTTTAAATTTTTTTAACAAATCCTCTGTCCAATGAATGTGCTGATCCCATCTCTGCTGCACAGGTGATTCAAGTGAAAATATCAAATAATTCTGTTCCTTTCTATTGTGGATGCAATGCTACGCATTCACTGAGAAAATACAATAAAATCTAAATATGAAGTCACTCTGGCTGAACTGCAAATCGAACGTTAATAGAAGAATACGGTTCCGACAGACAGCTCCGAGCATTATTGTCTAAAGTTGGGTAAAGGGTAATTAATTTGGCAGTAAATCATTCAGTGTTTTGGGTGAGCCTGATGAGAACTGTAAAATTATTTTTTTTCTCTCAGACATCGCCTCAGCCAACCCCCAGTCCCCATTGTCTGAGTGAAAATGGAAATCTGTGCCACCAGTACAATATCCACATTATGTGCCCTGCCTCGACATTGTTGCATGACATGCTTGATTGTACGCTGGCATATAAGAACAGAAATATATAAACATACCATTAGCACACATTAAGGTTTGTCCCCCTCTTACATTAATGAGCAATGTGTGAGTTTTTAAATGATTTCTTTCATTCTTTTTTAATATAATACATCTCAGACATTTGTAGATTTTTTTTTTCTAATGTTTAAAAGCAGAAGAAATGCACTGATTTCAAAGTTAGGTCCTTTTTTGGATAAACTAAAGTAAACTTGTGTCAAATACATTTTCTAAAAGTATATTTAATTATATTACCTTTCTACCACATGCATGCAAAACACAATTACAAGGATACGGTTTTGCTACACCTCCTCTATTTAGCATTCAACAACCTCATGTCTCCCTCACATCTTTAGTTTGAAGCTAAAATTGCAATAAAGTCCTTGTGATTACAGGCAATATAACACATTAGTCCACATTAGTTTGACCTGTCGTGAAGTGCTTACATGTGCTTTACAGTTTGTTCTTTGTGACGCGGTTTGAGGACGTGTGCAACAAGAGGAGAAAACAAATTGTGAGCAGGAACATTACAACCCTGAGCAGTAAGTGGTTCTGTCTTCAAAGTCTCATTTCACACGATTGTTATGTTCTAGCTCATCCTACGCAAAAAAGAGGTCAGAGACTGGCCCGTTTGCAGTATCTTATTATGCTCGTATTACGAGTGCAGCACTGACTGAAGCTGATCCAGTACAACCAGTACATGCACGTCTCCCACTCACACAAAAGCACTGACTCATAAAGCGATTGCTTCGCCACTGTCTGCACAAAGAAGGGAAGTCTTGGCTCAAAAATTCAAACCAAATAAACTGACCGAACATAGACAGCAATCTGAGTTGTTGTTCCCAGACGGAACCAAGTAAAATCTTCCACAGCAACATTAGCTGCACCAAACAACGAAACCCAACTGAAACACAAGGATGTAGCTTCTACATACTTCTACAATTCTACTATTTCATTTAGCAGACTTGTGTGTTTTACAGGATCAGAATTAATGTGAGTGTTTCTGGAGCATCCACACATCCCAGCAAGTTGTGGATCTGATATATTTTTAAATTGCTTTTGTTGTTTTGTTTTTTTTTCCTTTCATTCTCATGCCATCTCTTCGAAAAGTGGATGAAGTCCTGCTGTCACTAATAACTCAATGCTGCCACCCAGTGTTGGGACGTCTTTGGCTTCAAAAAGAAGAGAAAAAAAAAAGAAAAGCAGAGCCCTGTTTCAGCTTTAGTAGGTCTGTCAGCATGAGTTAATTTTAACCACTGAAGTCTGAATTGGAGAAGATGAAAAACATGATTATATACAGGACCCCGGGTGGTTGTGTGATGATTTTAGTTTGAAGCTAAATGTGATACTGCAGTTAGGATTTTGTTTTTTGTATAAGCAAGCATAACCAAAGGCTGCCTGAAGTGTGGGCCTGTGCAGCTGCAACACAAGTGTGAACAGAATATTGCAAAATATATTGATGCTGTTCGCCGTGTGCGGCTGCATTGGTATGTGTGTTGTGCGGCTCGCGGGCTGCTCTCGGTGTCAGCTGTGAACACACGTGGAGAAAAACAAGATGCTGTCCTTCACTATGGATTTTACATGCTCTCCCCTGATACCTCAGCCCCACCTGTCTAGCCATGAGCTCAGAGTTGAAACAGAGTTCAGCCAAGTCCAGAATTGTTCTTGCTTGTTTTATCAGTAGCGTGTACCATATTTCCCCATGAAATACTACAGCCGGCAAGAGATACTGCCAAGGGAGCAAGGAAACAATTGAATGGGCATTAATGATTTACAGCTACATATCTGCTATAATACCAACACAGGCGGAGGTAACTGAGAGCAGGATCTGATGACATCATTGATGTTGCCTCAGATAACACCTTGATCATCAACTATGTATGGATCTGGCAAAAGATATAAGATAATGTCCAAGTGAGAGTAGACTATTTACCAACCTAGCGTAGGCTAGACCAGCGATCTGACACTGAGCCAGGAACTGAAGGTGGGTCACAGAAAGCTTCAAATTAATCAAGGTGACAAAACGTGTTACTTCTATGATCAGTTGTAAAAGCCTTGGTTTACAGTGGGACATGAAATGTGCACGCCCAGAGAAAAATGTTTGATGACAGCTGGAATATGTGAAAAAGATTTAAATGAAAAAGGCTATTATGACCCTGAACTGTTGTACAGTAGATAATACAGCCACACATATTTCTGTGCAAATATGTCTTCTTTTTGTTCTAAGCAGTATTGACGAGTAAAGCTCCAAACAAAATGCAAAAAGAAAATTAAAAAACACATTGCAGTTATTTTGGCTGGTATTGTGAGTGCAATATCAGTAATGATTTTAGTTATATTGGTATTTTCCACTGAAGAAATATAAAAAATTCTAATATGGTTTATGCTGGAGTTTGCACCAAACAGGCATATTCCCTTATTTCTGTAGTGTACCACTTGTAGGTCAGGGTATCTCTGTAGCACCACAATGCTCTATTTATATTGGCATTATACATTATTTTACAGGCCAGGATGAACTGGCAGATAGTGGCACTCAGTGGCAGTCTGTGGTTTTCCAATTTTTCTGCCAATGGAGTGCCACTTGATGAAGCAGCCGTGTCAGGAGTTGCCACTGAGGTGCCACAAATGGCCACTAAGGTGCCACAAACTGCTACTGAGGCGCCACAGACTGCCACTAAAGTGCCACCGACGACTACAGAGGTGCCACAGACTTCCACTGAGGTGCCACAGAACGCCACGGACAGTCAGAGACCGCCACTTAAGTACCACAGACGGCTCCTGAGGTGCCACTGGAAGCCAGAGATGCTATCAAAGTGCCACAGACTAGTACTGAGGCGCTACAAACTGCCACTAAGGTGCCACAGACCCCAAAGATGCCACAGACTCCTACTGAGGTGCCACAGGCTGCCGGTGCCATTAGCAGGATCCAAGCATCTCTCCTGGTTTTTACCTTTATCACAAAATTGCAGCTCCAAGGCTTTGGATAATGTAGTTGATCATATTGTAACTTAAAAAAATATTTCAAGTAATTAGAGAGAGTTGGCAATAATGGAGAAACAGCAACGTGCTAGTTGGGTTGGAAAATAAAATTAAAATAATAGTTAAATGGTTGCACTAATGACTGCTAATTGACTCTAAGTTGATCAATTCATTAATTAGTCAACTAAACGCTTCAGCTTCAATGTCTAATCTCTGTCTCAAACAGATGTGTGTGGATTTCTGTTTGTGATCATGTAAAAAAATAAACGTAGCAGTCAAGGTAAGACTAAGATTAGATTTGTTTTTGTTTTTTTAACTGTCTTTTGTCAGTATGTTTTAATCTAAAACAACACTTCTCCTGGAAAACATGACATGATAATAATATTTTATTAAAAATAAAGAGGAAAAAATGTTGTATTTAGCCGTACAATAAATCCAAAAAGGTTGAACAGACATTCACTGAACGACAGCTTCTCTGAACCAGCCTGTTTACAATGAGGGGAAATGACGTGCTAATGTTTTGAATCGTGCGGGCTAACAAGCATCACGGAGCCTGTACAACAACTGCACTGACCAGCCTCCCCCTGACACATTTGGGGAAAACGTTAAGCTTCATGTCTCCATAATTTCTGTCACAGTGAGTTTTACTGCATTAAAGGTCGTGCCAATGTAAATAACTGAGCTTGGTTCGGTTTGCAGCGTTAGCTCGTTTGTAGTTGTTGTTAGCTAGCCCTTAGCTAGCGCCAGTCCTCCTGCATCCTGCTGTTATTTCTCCTGCAGGATGTTTTAGACAAAGGATAACCTTGCTGGCGAATGAGCAATGACAGCGTTGAGAAAATGCGATGTATGTGTGTTAAACAATGGATAATAGCACACGGTACGGTTTAGCTTATGGTAGCTTAGCCGTGATGCTAGTAATTAACCATTAGCTGATAACTAATGTCCGTCCAGCTGCGATGCTAACGCTAGCCATTAAAGCTAACACAAGAGAGGTCATTATTTTTGCTGCACATTTATTTTAGTCACATAAATATATTAGGGTGCTTTGACTTTGCTTAATAAAGACGGTCAGCAGGTTCCTCAACGTTTTAAATATTAGTTATCGGCTGACTTGACATCCTGGGTGAAGTGAGTCCTGCTGCAAAGTTCATGTGGGTCGAGCGTAAAAGTCAGTGCTTACCAGTGATGCTTTCACAACCAAGCTTTCATAACTAATCGTTTTGTAACGTTCCCATTTAAGTCAGGGTGTGCCATACTTGGTGCACAGGCGACAACTGCTGGGTTTGGTTTGGTTATTTAAGGATTGCCGCCCGTCCTGCTGCTCGCTGTGACTGCCTTCACTATCATCTGAACGCCACCGCCTCCTGAACGTAAACTGTTTCCCTCTTCTGCACAGCAGGAGAAAGCAATGGACCTCCACAAGATCATCCACAGCGCGCTGCACGAGTTCATCCAGACTTACATTCCCGATGCAGATGTCAGGTAAGCAGTTCTCCAGCTTTGTTGCATCCTCTCAAAAACAATCTTGTTAGTTTTGCAGACAATTTTCTCCTTTTTTTGCCCTTCCCTGCAGCACATTGGATGATGTTCTTCTGTCCTACATCACTGGAGTCCTGGAGGATCTTGGCTCCCAGCAGAGTGTCGAGGAGAACTTTGATGTGGAGGTCTTTGCGGAGATGCTAGAAGCTTACATCCCTGGCTTTGCCGAAATTGACAGGTAAACAAAAGATGCACTTCCTGTGTCCTGGTAGTGAATGAGCAAGATCAGGCAACTGCAGTAATCTGGCAGGAGCTGTTAATACAAAGATGTTTTTGTTTTGCAGCGTCAAAGTCTGTGAGATGATGTTCAATCTGGCTTCCAAACTGGCCACTGCTCGGACTTCAGGTAGTGCATTGTGAATTGTATTGTGGTGGTCTTGGGCCGAATCCACTCGTTTATGGGTTTGTTTGTTTTTTTTAATCACATGATTTTTCTTTCTTGTTTGTCAAAAGAATCTCTGTGCACATATAAATGCAAAAACAAGACTGAAGTGCTGTCAAAGCCATGCCAAAAACAGGCGGTGATATAAGCCTAACCTGAAAACCATGTTTGACAATAGAAGCCTGAAAGAAGAGTTATTACCTGTTCTGGGAGAATGCCAACAGTGATGCTTCAAGGAAGGAAGGAACCATATATATGGACTGATTCTGACACTTCTGTTCCTTTAGTGAAGTGGAAGAGCAACTGTACATTCATGTAAACATGCATAAAGTTTATGCAAAGTTAACAGCATTACATTGATCACGTTCACCATTAAGCAAAATTACCTAATTTAAGCAAAGTCGATAATGGCGGACACTCTGACATCACAAGCAAAAAAACTCTCTGTCCTCACACGTCAACACTGCAAACACAATTTCTGAATATCTTCCCTCTGGAAGGAGGAATCCAAAAGATTTGCATGTGAACAAAAGGCCAAAATGCAGAGAAAGCTACGATTTAAATCAGGGGTGTCCAATCCTGGTCCTTGAGGGCCGCAATCCTGCATGTTTTAGATGTTTCCTTCTTCCAACACACCTGATTCAAATGATCAGCTCATCATCAAGCTCTGCAGAAGCCTGATAACGATCCTGATCATTTGAATCAGGTGTGTTGGAAGAGGGAAACATCTAAAACATGTAGGATTGCGGCCCTCGAGGACCAGGATTGGACACCCCTGATTTAAATTGTACCTGCGTACATGTAATATCTTTATTTTCATCGTGTTGCCAAATTGTGAAACTTGTTTTTGATGGATATCATCAGCTTAATATTTATACCACAATGTGCTGATGTTAATTAGTTTGTTGCTTTTTTAGCTGATGAGGAAAACGGTGTGCCTAAGGCAAGGGCAGAAGAGATTTCTGTGAAACTCACCACCCTGCCCAGTGAGCCTCCGCCAGGAACAGAAACACAGTGCCTTAAAACACAGACAGAGGGCGCCACCGCCAAGGTGATCACCTCAGCACACTATTTTTTCTTCCCTTGATGAGTTTGCATTTTTCTCCTTGTGCGTCCTACTGCTGAAAGTGTCGCATCCATCGAAACTAGAAAACATGAATGTGTGTGTGTTCAGCCACCAGTGTCTGAGTGGGAGGCTCAGGAGCAGCACCTGCTGGAGATGTTTCCCAAGTGCAGTCTGTCCGAGGCTCGCAGCGCTCTGTCCATCGCCAAAGGAGACATGGAGGAAGCTGTGCGCCTCATAATAGAGGGCGATGTCCAACTCAGCCCCACTCCCCTAAATGTGAGTCTCTGCGACAAACAGAAATACTGATGCTCCGACTTGTCTTAGCTGCTGCCTACCGTTAACCATCTGAGCTGATGGTATCCTGTTCTTCAGGTAAACCACGGGAAGAGCATCTCCTCGCTGGCAGACCAGAAGCTTAAAGAGAGCATCCTTGAGAAGTGAGTAAGATCACAAGTCGTTTCATTGACAGAATTATCTTTACTTATTTGTTTCAGTGTTTGTGACTGTGTTTAATCGTAATAGGTACATGCTAGTGGACAGCGAGGAAGATAACAAAACACACCGGCCCGTCGCCCCCAAAGATGTAAGACTCTAGCTGTACTACATTTTAACATCAAATCTGTTTCATGCAATAACACTAGTGGCTTCTGGTGTCATTTTTAATCTTTTTTGCAGGCTCCAAAGAAGCTAGTTCGTTACCACAGTAACCAGGTGGTAACCACGAAGGGAGAGAGATACCAGCTTGTGAAGAAAAACGAGACAGAGGACATGAAGAAGACATACGTCAACCTCAAGCCCGCACGAAAGTACCGATTCCATTGATGACGAGCACAACACTGTAAGAGCAGCGAATGACAATATTGTTTACACACTTTTTAATTTATTACGTTTGAATTTGTTCGATTTATTTTTTTTTTCCCAAACAAAGGAAGACATTTGCTGGTGTGTCAGTGGCTTACTTTGAACAACCATTATATGCCTTGGTTTAAACATTCAATCACAGTGTTTCGGTTGCGTTAAAAGTTTACTTGAGAAGTTTTTGGATTTTTTTGTGTGGTATTTTGATCAGGATGTTGTAACTTGTGCTCTTGTTTATGTAACAGCCTAACCTATCTACTTTTGGCCATCTCAGCCGGTCTGATGTTGCACTGACAGTATTGTTCTTTTTTTTTTTTTTGCGTTTTAATTTTTTTTTTTAACCTAGTAGAATATAGATTCAGAATTATGACATTGCGAGTGGATCTATATTCATATCTGTAAATAAGTTCTCGTGGTGCTGTAGAGTTTCTTCTTGACATTACAACTCTCAAACGCTTTGTTTTGTTTTTAATGCACATACACCGATTAGCCAAAACATTTCAACCTCCTCCAATCTTTATGCTTTGCACATTTTGTCTGCTTCCAACCCCATCAACTTCAACAACTGTTCACTAGCTGCCTAATATATCCTACTCCTTGACAGGTGCCATTGGAACAAGATGTTGCAAGCGTCACCTGTAAGCGGTTTTAATGTCGTGGCTGATCGGTTTATTATTTCAATGACGGCAATTTCATTATAAGTAAAACTTTTTATATCACACAGGATTACAGTGCTGTAAAAGGTTTGTTGAAACCTTGTGTTTTGGGACAATTTGTTGAGCTACAAAATTGAACTTCAGCAGGAGTAATATGCAAAGTTTTACACAATATGTTTACTAAACTGAAACCAACCTTGGCTCAAAGGTGAGATTTGACAGTCTGTCATTATGACCTGTGAGTCCTGAGCAGTCTGAGATTAAACACTTTAACTAAGCCCTGGAAGAATAAGAGGTACACTTAACTTTTACACATCCTACATAAATAAATGTGTTTTTAATTATCTGTAATAGAAAGCACAATCAGGATCCATGGTAGTTCATTTTTATAGCACAACAAATTAATGTTTCCACAAACTTTTACAGCACTGTAATTTTAGACATAATGACGTGGAGGACTATGGTTGCCCCCCTTAAAAAATAAAAATGTTGAGTGAAATATGCTGCTGGAGGACTTCATGTTAAAGTTCATTCCAACAGTAGTATCTTTATTTTTGATATAGATGTTTAGATTTGCAAAGTCTCCAATTATGTATTTGTGAAAGCAGAAGGTTGTGTTTTTTCAGGGTCTGTTTACATATTACCGAAGTGGTTCTGTATCACGGCTCCTCTCATCTCATTTGTGTTCTTGTGAACTTTGCTTCGCTCGTAATTGTTGGTTGTGGAACTTTTCGATTATGATTGGATTCTTATTTCTTATTAATTGTATATTAGGATAAATGGGTTGGTGAGGTTTTTTTTGGGTTTTTTTCCCCTTTACTAAGATATATCGTTGTTTGTGTTCCCCTCTGCATCCATTTGGAGCAACTATAAGCAATTGTTTTAAACTGGTAGTATAATCTTGTTTTTGCTGAGTGTAGTGTAACACAATTGGGTGTCGACAAGATGTGTTGTTACTGATAGTTGTCATTATCAGCAGCAATGTTATCTTTAATTAGTATGTGATGGTGGTACAGTAGAGCATGGAGTGGATTTCCTGAAGCTGTTTAGTCACAACTGAGTTTTAACCCCTTCGCTTTGAAAGACTGCTGACGCACAATTTATAGTAAATAAATACTAATTTTTGTAGACTACAATCCACATTGTGTGCATTTATTTACTCTTCTTACCTAAGGTGCTCATTTAAAAGCTTCATTTTCAATAATCATTCACAGTTCTGCAGTTTAGAACTTTGCAAACAAACTTTAATCAGAGAAACAGAAAACCACATGTTCAAAACAAAACAAAACAAAAACACAGGCACCCGTCAGTAAAAACATGCCTACATCTCTATCAACGGCCGTCAGTCTCACCTTTAAAGCTGTTTAATGCCAGAGTGAAAACAAACGTTTTTACCATAAAATAGAAAAATTAAAAATCAAGCTCCTGCGACATTTAATGCCAATGCCAACGTATGGCAAGGCACGTAAAGTAAACGATTAACCTATCAGTAGAAGAGATGAAACATCAGTCTTTTGTCTGGTAAATTATCTTTTGATGAGGAATGAGCACTTATTATTTGATCATTGTGCGATTTGTATGAAACACAGATGCACATTAATAGATTAAAGGCTTGAACCTCAATCAGACAAAACAAAACTCTCAAAAACTCGTATTTTAAAGTCCCCTATTTGCTGATCCATCTAATTTCACAAGCAAAAACAGTTTAATTATGAAGGTAGACATTAACTGGTTCGTGTGTTGTTTGGCACATACAGCACAGTACATTAAATTATCCCCCTTTTGTTTCATGTATGTCTCTGCTGCCAATGTTGCTGGAGGGCTTTAACACGTGTCTGTGTGAAAGTAAAAAGAATTGGATACCAGATGATTGTTGATCTACAGGTATCAGGACTTTTGTACACACTGCAGCTCTATTTCATCTCAGATCTGCTGCATTCACTACGACATACTGAATTATTGTAGCAGCATCGTGCACGGGTCAGGAAACACATCAAGCTCATCATGCATTTGCAAACCTGGCCACTAGATGGTGCCGTCTATTGCATTGCGATGGCTGTACTAAGCTACATTCCTAGTGCAGTCAGCTGATAACATTTTAACATAAATCTATCATTTATGCAATTTAACCACTTTTACTGTCACAGTTTTCACAATTGTATTATTATTGTATTACTCTGAGAATTTTCTTCACAACACAGCAGCCTCCTGTATTTTCTTTTGATTCTTAAAATGAACTACCAAAATTACACCGTGTAATGTATTTTCAGCACTCCCTCATCTGTTTCTTGTATGCAGAACAGCACATCCGATAAAATCCTTGAAACACAAACCAAACAAGCAAGAGCATTTATAAAACAAAAAAGCAATCACTCTGCTTAAAAGAACTTAGCTTATAGAGGTCACATATTCCTTCAACTGAATATATGAGCATCCTTTTTTTTTATCACAGCCATACATTTTTAATCATGTTTCATCAGTTTTTAAATCATTGTACTTCTGTGGTTTCAATGAATGTGTCTACGCTGTCTACGCTAAACCAAAAATCTTGCTGATCGCTGCCCAAAGTCACGTCACTAGTGGAGAAAATGTCGATAAATAATTCCAAATCACTCAGTAGCATAGCTGTCTTTGTGATACAGATGAAGGATATGAGTCAGGACAAAGTTACTAATCAAGCCACAACTGAGTCAATCCATATGTAAAGTCCTCTATTTAACTAGTGCGTGTGTTGTAAATATAAATATGTAATACCCTTTGATCCATCCATTAGTGGTCAAAATATTGAGGTTGCTCCAAAGGTACCAATCTCACACAATTCCCGATTAGAGCTAACACTCGTTAGCTGGACTGGACTGTTGAGAAATAACTGACTGACATCAACACATGTGGACTTCTGCCAAACTAGGCCTTGTCTTCAAGGACCGAAAGAACAAACTTCTTCAAGTAGGTTGAATTCCCGTGAGCTAGTCGAAGGATTCTTCCGTAATTGTTGTATTTGCAATGACGATGGCACTCGGAGGAGACTGAAGCAGACTTTTTTTTTTTTCAAGATGGCTGCTTATTGCCATGCAGTGTTACGTAGCTCCAAAGACAGATTGCGAGTTACACTCACCAGCAGTGTCACTTTCACATGCATACAGTTCCTGAAGCAGTCTAGTTAACAGTTTTAATGGTGAGGCCTCTAACTGAGATCCTGGTCATATCGCCCCTTTATCATCGTTTTCAGTAAAGGTCCGACCTACAGAAAAGCAGAGAGGATTTGTTGTTTAGGATGAGCTACTTCACAGAGTCAGACATGATACACTGTTTTATTCTCTGTCCCTAACTGCATATATATCTCTCCTTTGAACTAAATCAGGTAAGCCATAAATATTCACATTAATTGGGTTGCTGGAAGGGTCGGCATGCCCCGGGGATTTCATCTAACAGGTGACCTAAATGTGGATCTGATTTGATGTTCTAGAAACGGGCAGTGTGACATTCATGCGTGACTTATGCAATCAGTACACTGTTAACAGCAAAGGCAGTATAAAAAAACCAAAAGCTTTTACTTCTTGTGGATCTCCGAGTGCTTCTCCCAGCATCTTCTCGATATTTCTCATGATGGCCACCTTCTGATGAGCTCGCAGAGGATATTCTATCCTCTTGGGTGTGGGGGCGCCCTGAAGAGAAGAGTCAAACAGAGGAGAAATCATAAGTAGAAACATCTAGTGGCAAAGATAGCACAAATATTAAAGTTGTAGTGAGATAAATTTGCATACTTTGTACCAGAAGTTTACAGTGATCGTCACTCCGCCATTCAACAGTGATTCAATGTGATGCCACCTGAAGGAGGAAGAAGAATATAAATCAATCAAATCGCCTGTTAGAAAGGAATTTTCTGTGCAAACTGCCAAGACCAATGTCATAAACACAAATAGGCATTGCTTTGAGACACTACAGGAAGCAAGTAAAAATAAAATGTGGTGAGACAAAGTGAGCAAAGATTAGAGCTTCTCAGACGTGTACCAAGTAAGAAAGACGGAGTAGTACAAAGCCTACGTTATACTTTCCACATTTGCAAATACATGAAAGTCCACGCGACGTAAATTTTAAGCACATTTAGGACAAATTTACACCACACGGATGCAAGCAAATCCTCACAGACGCATAAAGTATAACACTGACCTAATAACAGCTACATGTCTGTGGTGTATGCAGCTGTCCATGTGCAGATCCACAAGGCATTACACTCAAGGCTTACAAAGATTGTAGCGTTTCACGTGTTTTCTTTGCGGTAATACATGCATGGAAAATGAGAAAGCGCCAGATACATGGAAGTGTAATTATTGTGTGTGGGCATTTCAAGTGAGTGGAGTGACAGCTGCTTGTCTAACTTTGCTTCTTCCTTGACCTTATGTACGTTTCTTCTTAAAGGACGTTGACCAAGAAGACATTATACGATGTAGTTCCTCTTCGCTTGGAAACTGTTACTGAATGTGCAGGTTTATGCAATAAAGAGAACTCCACCACATGATGCCAGCTCACTAACAAGCAAGACATGCTGCAAAGCAAAGTGGCACGCTAAACAAGTTTGTAAAGTTTGATGCTCACCAAGGAAACGACCAGTTACTATAATTACGATTCAAGGGCAATTCTGAAATAACCACCAATGCCCTGCACTGTGGACTTGTGCTCCAACACATCAGCTTTATTACTAACAACTGCAGCTGCACTTTAGACACTTTCGATTACACAAATGTCTACTAATTCAGAACCAGTTAATGAGGCACAGGAAACACCATGACCCTGCTGAGCTTTGAAATTCTGAAGAAACATGATTTGGCCTGGCTTCCCAAGAACTCAGAGCCCAAGAGATAGTAAGCTTCTCTATGTAAATGATGTCTGTATGCATTATTTCTACAGAAAAGCCACATAAAAGTACTTCTTACCAGTACATTGGGATGTAAAGTACATCTCCGGGGCCCACTACAGCTTCATAGCCAACAACATTTTTAAAATTGGGAAACTTCTCATAGTCAGGATGATCAAAATCAACCTAGAAAAGACAAACAATGATTGCAAAATGTGAACATACTGTCTTAACAAAGCCTCTTTATGTCTTCATATCAATGAGTTCATTGAGTACAATAACATGAATGTAGTTTATGTCATTAAAACTTGCTGTGCTTCTACACATCTTTAACTTACTTGGCTCTGTCTGTCACAGGGGTGATGGACAGGATACGGGTAGAGACATTCAAACTGGTCTGGAGGGAAGAGGATGCATCTCTTGTGGCCTTTGATCTGTGCAAAGAAGTTCTGCTGCTCGTCGTAATGTGCCGGTGTCACGTTGCCTAAAGCGAGAGAGAACTGTTTGAACGTGCAGTGTGCAAAACAAAAGAAGCGTCTACAATTACAGAAGTGAAATGAAAGATGTTTTTACAGCAGAGATATTATAGCGCTTCTTCTGCAGTGGGTGCCTACTGGGTGAAGCTTACCCTCCATGCCTATGAGCAGCAGGTTGGATGTCAGCTGTCCCCAGTTTCTCTTGGCTTGCTGCTTGTTGATCCAGTTCCAGTTGAAACCAAGAAAGTCAACAACTATCTTCTTTCCTACTGTGTCATTCAGGGTCTGCTGTAGGTATACTCTTTGGAATTTGTGAGAAAAACAGACATGCAAAGTGTATGAGCCACTTGGAGGAAATTTTCAACGAGTGCTTATAACTGTGTCTGCAGGATATCAGCTTGTTTACAATGTACTTCTATTTCAGCTGACTACATCTTCTTTAAACTATGAAGAGCAATATGACATTGAGGTGGGTGGACAGTGTAAATCCAAACAGATAACAAGCCACTGAGAGTGTCAGCAAGTTCAACAGTGAGTTCTCTTCAGTAAACGATCTGGGTGTGTGCTGCCAGGTCACGTCAGGTCACAGAAATACGCTGCTCCGCTGAGTCTCCTGCATAACTGCTTAGTCATTAGCTCCACTTTCTTGTGCAGAGAAAACACCCTTCGATGTCAAACACACCTTCAGAACAATCGCATTTTGCTGTTTGAGCTTTAAAACAGGGACATTTGTTGGGACCGAGCATCATCCCAGGCAGGGTTAATACAAACACAGCTTTCACCATATTCAGCAGTGCACAGTTCCAACTAAAATATCCCTATATCCTACCTCTCTTCTCCTCCCATTTCCTCCGTTTCGTGCATTTTATCCACAAACTCGGAAAATTTCATTTCCATTCGTTGAGACTTGGGGACAAAGTTCTCAAAGTTAGACATTTTCTTCTCGTCGTAGTAGAGGAATTTGTGCTTTTCTGCAATGTAAACAGAGAAGTCTCCATTTCCAATGTTCTCCTGGAGGTACGCAATGTCCCATTTAAGAGCTGGATATACAAGGTTTGTGTCTGTTAAAACCACCGGCTCCTGAAAACAAACAGAGAACATTTCAGTTTAGATTTACATTTGCTTATCCCGTTTAAATTAGCTTATACACTTGGAAAAAATAAGTAAGATCTCTCTAGGCATTCAGCAATAATCACTCTGAGCCTACTAAAGGGATTATCAATTATAACGTGGGGTTTTTAAAAATAATTACTTGTGTATTAGTGTATAATTTCATTAGGATTATTTGGTAAATAGGATGTGTTTTTCTGGTAGCATAAAACTGTAAATAATGGTTTCACTTAACATCTACTTTACCATCTATGCATGAAATAAAACTGCAAAAACAGTCTTCAAAAGGCTTTTTTATGTTTTTTTCTTCTTTTTTTTTTTTGATTGCACGTATATCAGTTGCAGCACACCCCTGTGTAATCCATGCATGTGTGCAGCGTGCATGGCAGCAGACACTCAGAGCTCCGAGGGCTACGTGACTAACTGAACGTAGACCGCTGAGCGCGCTCCCGACACCCGCCTCTCGAGCACTGCACCGGTTTCACTTTCTGCGGAGAGTCTGCAGCGGCGAATAGTTAATTAAAAAGCGACGCTGGAAAGCCCAGAATCTGTTAAAATTAACTGCAGTGTGCTTGTAAATGCAGCGAATCGGGTCTTGCTTTGTGGTTCCTTTATGTACAGCAGAAGAAGCAGCGGGCCGAGGGGGCGCGCTCATCGACCACCGATCGGTTTGGTTTTCACGCCTGCGCGCTGCGTGCGTCGTTTTGGATAATAACAGAAACGCGTCTTAACATCTTGATAATGCTTTAATGCTGCTGGCATGCACATATGATCACTGGTCAGTTTTGTACGCAGTTTAAATAGGGATGCTGGCACTGTCTGTATGAAGATGCCACGTTTGGACATCAGTGTTGCTCTTATTGATAATCTCTCAGGTGTGATTGGAAGTTTAAGAGGTCACTTATATTGCCAGCCATGATTTTTATAACCATGAATTTTATGTTTTTATTCACCTGTTCGTTTGTGGATTGCTCGAACTGCAGTTGACCTCTCCAGTTTCCACATACCAAACAAATAACATTCACTCTTCACAGGTTTTAGGTTATAAATTTCCAATAATGTAACTACATTTATAATAAAAGGAAACACATGCACTGATTTATAGCTTTCAACTTTCAATAATAATAATCATCCACTATGCAAACATCAGTACTTTGTTGACTGATTCTGTTGCCCTCCTAACCTACTTAGCATATCAGCCTCAACCTCACGGCTTCTTTGGCAGATTTTAAGTATTTAAACATTTAGAATTGCACATCAACATCTGTATCCAAGTGTTTTTTTTCACACGGGTTTTGAAACAGCAAAGGAAAGGAGTTCAGGATGTTTTTCATTTCACTTCTGCCATTATTTTAAGACCGTCAAAATGAAGTGAAAGCGCCCGAGTTCTCTTGACAAGATTGTTGTTACTATTCTTGGAAAATAACTCTCATGAGCTGAAATCGTCTCAGTAAGTGTGCAATCAAAAGCAGAGAACGGGAAGCTGGTTCGTTTTGAGAAGCAGTGAAGATGACAAATTTCTATTCTTGTTGATACAAATATTTGCAGCATGTAAGGGAGAGGTTCAGTTCCACTAGTGCAGAATATGATTTTGGTCTATGTTTGGGTGAAACACGATTACGTAAACTCGCTCTGTGAAATGCAATCTTAAGGAAACAGCAGCAAACGCCAAAATGTTCCCTTGAAACCTTCCCAACAAAACTAAACGTGTCCTCCACGTCTTCGGTGAGAAAATTCTGAGATATTCTTTAGAACTAATTAAACTCTTGCTATGTGATACTGATGTTATCCACGGAGGACAAACATGGGAGTCGGTTCATTTGAAATGCAAATACAAGCACAGTCATCCACTTATATGAAAGACATAAATGATTAGTCATTGCCCATCAGGAAGCTTAAACGAAGGCCAACGATTGTCTGTGCTTAACAGGTAGACAGGCCTTCTGGGAAATGCTGCAGCTAAAACAGACACCAGGAACAATGTGAGATGGAATGAGGTTTGTCTCCTCGAGTGAAAACGTTAACTGCAGTCGGTATATGAAGGAAAAGAAAAACACCAGTCTGATATGTACTTCAGGCCCCCACACAGATGTTATTATGCTCTCAAACAGACTATCTGCACATTCCATTTTGATTTGTCATGCTTAAACATAAACCCACAGCTTTGTTCAAGTTCTTAATAGAATGGAGGAGAGGAGGGGAAATCCATATTAGACCACAGACAGTAGACAAGCTGCTCCTGACTGCTTTGGTATTAGCTTTCTAACATGTTGCATTCAGTGCGCACAAGCCTCAATGGTGTCAGGAGGTGCTTTTTATCTGACAACAAAGGTAAACTAGTCACTACTTGGACTACCCTTGAACTTGGCTCCTGAAAGGCTTTACTGTTTTCAAAACTATAGAATGCGTACCGACAGCAAACAAAGCCACACTTAAACAAAAACATATAGTGGAGCTGCTTAGTTTAATGCACATGTGATGAAAAGTGCAAAATACCTGTTTCTATGGGAAGAAAATTACTGTCAATAATGCAAAACTGATCACAAATATGAAGCCGACTGGTTAATCTGAGCTTATTTAGATCTCAGGACTAAACACAAAGCTAACTTGCATGCTCTCCAAAATCAGGCTACTTGTCTGAATACATTTTCCAGCAATGTAGGGCACTAAAGCAAAGATTATTCCCATCATCAATTAATCTGTTGATGATTTTATTAATTAATTGATTAGCTGTTTGGTGAAAAATGTTAATCGATGTTGCCCAGAGCATTATTTTGTGCAATTATTTATATGATTCACTTGATTTACTAGTTGTTTGGGCCACAAAAGGTCAGAAAATGGTGAAAAGTTTTGATCATAGCATCCAAAAACAACAAATAATGTTCTCAAATTGTCCACAACCCCAAAATATGCTTTCACAGACAAGTAAACAAAACAAAAAATATATTCAAATATATGTATTTTTCTTTAAAGACAAGTCAAACTGATAAATCGACTATTAAAATAGATGTCGAGTAATTTAATAGTCTGCATTAATCGATTATTCGACTAAAATCTTCTGCTTTACACCAGGTTGAGAAGTAAGCCTACGCAAAGTAAATCATTTTCGCTTTCAGTCCCTCGCTGCTGTACTCTGACAGGACAATGTGCACTAATGGCTGTTTCTGACCTAAATGAGCTTCCTGACCTGAACTGTTATCAAAATGAGGTTTATGGTGCAGTTTATTGATATGAAAACACCTGAGAGTGCTATCTGCGCTGACAGGGCAAGTAAGGTCAGTAAAGTAAAGTTTCAGCCAGCTAACTTAGCATGCGTTTACCTCGTTGTTTATTAGCATCTCTGCCCGGGGGTCCGTGTGAGACAGCCGGGGAATGGGCTTGGTGGGGAACGAGTACTGTCGGAGCTGAGACTCGTCCCAGCCCCGGTTCTGGACGCCGGAGAAAGCGGCGCCTCCTTCGCTCGGTGCCGGATCAGCCTCCACGACGGTCGCCGCTGCCATGGTTGTCGACGGGCGCCGATTAGCTGCTGCTCACAATGAAACAAGAGGCGGAGAGCGGCTCTTCCCCCTCGACGCTTTCCTGCTGGGACTCACGGTCAGCGGCCGGACGACCATACACGCCGTCCCATTCACATGTATGGGTTCAGTGAAGGGAATGAGCTCGGCGCTCTCTCTGCAGCTCTGTTCCGTGTAGGTGTTTACACACCGTGTTGACAGCCACGAAACCAACGACGCACGTTCAAATATTCAGGGAAACACTTGGCGCCATTTTTAACTCATACTTTCCAACAGCGACCCCTGCTGCCGCGGCGGACTCAGTGCATCGGTTGTACTAACACACCTCTGCCACAAGAGGGTGCTGTTGTATTTACTTTACTCGCAGTTTTTCAGAAAAACAAAAAAAAACTCATCAGATAGATTTAACCTCTTTCCATTCAAAATTGCCCATTTGTAGATTTAAAAAAATGTAATAACAAATTTTTGCGAAACGTACTATCCAAAAAAAATGTGTTTCCCTCGCCCTTGAGAGGACAACATCTATTGGAAGAATTAAAATTAAGAAAATTATATGCAATTATCTAAAATGTCCTATCCCTCACAAAGCTAAAGATGTGCATTTCAAAATAATTAATAACATTTATCCCTGTAAAGAATTCTTACTCTCCAAATGTAACATAGATGATAATGAATATGAATTTTGTGACACTAACAGTGAATCAGAAGAACATCTTTTCTTTTCTTGTACTTTTTCAAAGATTTTCTGGGGTAGTTTTTGTGCCTGGGCTCTTCATAATGACTTGTATCAATTACCATTGATATACAAAGAAATTAAATCTGGAGTCACTTTGGAAGAGAAACATGAGGATTTTATTTTAAATAATTGTATAATTATGGTCAAATTCTTCATGCACAAATGCAAATTTAGTAAAGTCAAACCATCGTTTAATGTGTTCCTGTGTGAGCTGGAGTCCCCGAGAGACTCTTTAAAATTCTGTATCTCAAAGAAGGCACTTAAACTTTATGGTGGCATAATGGCACTATCTTTATCTCCTTTTGCAAATTAACTTGAATGTAGTTGTCTGTGCATTTTTGTATTTTTCTTAATTTATTGGCTTGGTTTATTGGATTTCAATGTTTTTTGTTCTTTGTTTGTAAACTGCTTAATTTGAATTTGTCTGTTTTTTGTATTTTTTTATCTTCATTATTTTACAATTGATTTTTGTAGATTAAAAAAAACTCTAATTTTAAAATATTTATATATATATATATATATATATATATATATATTAAAATATGTTTTTATTTTATTTATATTTTTTTGATAAGATCAAAGAGCAAGTAGGAATAAAAAAAACATGCATATCAAACAAGAGCTCTGGTCTTAAGAGGCTAAAATCTAATTTCTCTAAATTGAGTCTGCAGATAAAAAAGCAGACGTCTTTCAAGATTTTTAAAGAATTTGTTGTTATTAGCGAGCAACATTATTGAACGGGATATTGCATATTCAGGGCACAAGTGTTTAAAAAAACAAACCAAGCTTACTTCTATAGCACGTGTTTAAACAATCTGAGTTGATGGAAGTGCTGTACATGTTGTGAAACAAGCAGCAACAGAAACATGTGCAGAAAGCAAGACAGGATACAGACTCATAAAATCAATTTGTAAAACAAAGTAAAAATCAATATGAAATACTCAAAACGCACAGCAAACAGGACAACAGCTTGAAAATCCCATTGTAGAATAAAATAAAGATAAAATACTAAAATAGGGCCATTACAATCAAGCAAAAGCCACTGAAAACATGCACATCACCACAAAAAAATACTTTTATGCTGTAGATATTTACTTTTTATTTGCAGTAATTGCATCAGATAGAAACAGACTTTGTAGTTAATCATTTTTTTCACACAGAATGTATGATCATCCTATTACATATGAGGAACTATTACAGTCAGGAATTCTTTACATGAGGGACCCCCCATGAGACATGTTTAAGCAGAATACAAAAACATTAAATGAATTATTTATAGCATTCAGGCGATAATGTAGCTGTAAGCAAATGGCATTTTAAAGTGCTTAATACAATAGACAGTTACAATAAAAAACAATTACTACATCTCCTATGAAGACATTTTCATATGATGCCATCTAGCTTTCACTGCATTACTAGTATTAATCATTGTCTGTATGTAGTAAGTCTCCACTAAGGAATGCAGGATAGATATAACATAAATAATATGGGCATGAATTGTTACAGATATTAGTTGTTTTACTAATGATTGAGGAAGCATAGGAAGGTTCACATACATCCTCAGCAACATGCCACAAGAGTGCCTGGTTAGACTCAAACCTGAAGTACACCAATTTTACATCAGACATTATAAACAACGCTACTGTTTTTGCTACTTGTAGAAATCACAGTAATTGACAGGGAAACACAAATACTAAATGCTCATTAGCACAGAGTCACAATCATATTTATTGTGGGCTTCCTCCAGGTCACATTAAACATAAAACAATATAAAATGATTTAAGAACATCACAGACATAAAAAAAAAAACTAAAAAAAAACAATTTGAACCCAAATGAATTAGTGCCAGTATATAAAATTTCTAAGAAAAGGAAAGGAATCTTTTTTTTTTTTTTTTTTAAATGACAATAATAATAGAAAGTTGATTGAACAGTAACACCTTAAACTGGTGTAACATGATGACAAAACACTTAACTATACATCCATGAGCTATACACACTTCATCCTGTAGAGGGTCAAAGTGGGCTGGAGTCTAACCCAGCAGACACTGTGGGGGGGAGGCAGCTTCCTCCCTAGACGGGTCTCCAACCCAACACAGGCCTACACAAAGAGTCAGACAGCCATGCCCGCTCACACTAAGACTTACGGGCGAATTATAATCACCAGTTACCCTCACATGCATGTTTTCGTCTGTGGCAGGAAGCCAGAGCAGCCACAGAAAGCCACATATGCAAACTACACAGAGGAATGCCCCGGCCGAGCAGCAGAGTGAACCACTGGGCCACCCAAAACAGGAACAACTTAAGGGATGTTACACAGAGCTGTGAAAGAGCGTGGTAAAAGCTGAATGAGCAGTTTTAACAATGCGGAAAAATTTAGATTTAACTTAACTGTAGTTTTGAGCTAAGATAGACGAGGAAGAATTTAAATTTTCAGGGAACATCCAGCAGATTTTTCTGCTTCAGGAAGCTAAACAGATATTTAGTTAACATTTAGTAGCAAATGGCAAAAAAAAAAAAAAAAAAAAGGAGGGGAAAGTGGAAACAGAAGCTGCAAGTATGCAAAATGATGCTCTCGTGATTGCAACGCGAGGCGAGAACTGAGTGGACTGAACTGTTGAGGCCTCGCTGGTTAAATTCACACGTTACAGGATACAAATGAAGCATAGTATGAAACAAGACAAGAAATACAAAAGGACTATGTGCTGATATGTACATGGCATGATGGATAGATGTAAACCAATTGTAAGACACACATGTGTAATTGTGTTTTAAATTTATGACGACTAACAGTGCTATATTGTGTTATTGCACTTGTGGAGCTCTAAAGGGAATCGTGTTACATGATGTTGTTGCATCAGTATTTCAACCATATACTACTTATAACTCTGCTACATACATACGAATACGTTCCACTCTGCTGCATTCATTTAGCAGCAGGTCACATTTCAGATCAAGATCATACAAAATGTAGGATTGTCTTCTAAAAAATTAACATTATTATAGGTGACGCTGCCTCCACCTCGATGAACTGCAGCATAAAACTATTATAACTGGCACAAAGAGGGATCACTGAGTCATTTGTATTTTTTTGTGTGATTTTGTCTGTGTACATTACTTGTCATAACACAACTAAGCCTGTTTCTGTTAACATTTAATCCATTAATCATCCAAGTAAGACATGACAATAAGCTCGATTCTAAGTGGCTCAGTGGTTGGAATCAGTCCAACCTGTTGTCTTCCTGCCACGACATGTCAAAGGCTATTTTTATATTACGTTATTGCTACTTTAAATTAATCAAAAGGTCTAGTTTTTTTCAACAAGCCAAATCTAAATAAAGCACAGCGCGTGACAGGTGACAGTGTTTTTCGGTAGCTGCAGTGTCGAAGTCGCCTCCGCTCTCTTTGTCTTTGTGTCTGTGGGAAACTGTGGTAATCGAAGGCTAAGCAAACACCTTTGAAATCCTGAACCAATATTTAACTGGGGCCATCATAGCCCCAGGATTACTGTATTGATCACTGGGCGATGCTTCTTCATGAGATAGCGGACAGCAGTGCACACTGTACCTTGCTCAGTGGACCGATCAGCTGATGAGGCCTCGTTCGGTTCTGTCAACATCACGCTGGTTTTGAACTAGACGGAGCGCACCTTATCAATCACTTGGCTGATTGTTAGTTTAATTTGAAAGTTACAAAATGACATCCTGTTGGCTCAAAGATACAAAAGCATTTCCTCATAGGTATTTCTCTTGAGTCAGGCTTTCTCAGCAGATTTCCACGGCAGGGACCGGTTTGGGCTCCCTGGTGGGTTCCCATGCTCTGTGTTTCCTGTGCAGATCAGTGAGCTGAGCTGAGCTGAGCTGATCCCTCTGATGCTCTTCTCCCCCAATTCTTTGCAGATACCCACAACCGGGAGAGTAGAACACCCTGGTGAGTGGCCAAAAAAAAAAAAAAACAGCTCGTATCTCAATCCTGCTGATAGAAACAAACACACACACCACTGCCGCCTGCTCCCCGACTGATGGACAGCTGACAAAGCAAAGACGTCTCCCAGGGAGCCGCCATGAAAACGGTTTCCTGAAGGGTGGCAGCATCTGGCGACTGCTGCAAATTCATAACGAACGCAATCATTGCTAACAAATGGGCAAACGAGCACATGGTGGATGTGGCGCTCATCTGTACTCATCTGTGTTGGCTTTCTCTCACATTCACGCTGACCCTCGCCCCTGTAGGTGTTGTAGGTCCAGAACCCCTAAGCCATAAATCCTATTAGTGAAGGATTCTCTGAAGCATTATAAGTCGTTTTCCCAATTTTAATTGTTTGCATTATCGTTTGCTACCTGAGAGATATCAATCCCCATTTGTGCATATTTGTTCATTGTTTATTTGCCAAAGCTGTTTGATAAAAAAGTCTTATTTTAAGCAAAAACTTCACAAAACTCAAAAATCTAGCAACAGGTGTGTTCGACTTTACATATTTTATCTCTTGTGTTTCTAGATCAGAAGTTCAGATTGAATGTTTAAGCTGTGACAGAAAGCAACAGCTTAAAGCCACACTGTTCCCGTGTTGTGTCGCCTCTCTCCCTATCACCTCGCGCTCATGCGTTATAGCAGATTGAAAATGGCAGGGCCAGCCTGAGAGACGGAAGTTCAGACCCCTCGGTCAGAGGTCGCGTCACTCTCTGCTCGGGGGGAAACTGTGTGTCCTGATCATCGCTATGTGTTGTTTCACACGTCCACTATTACATTTGTTTCATTCAGTTCAGCTGCCTTCCTTTCTTTCAAGCATGCGATGCTGCATTTGAGGGTACGCTCGGTGTTTGTCTCCGGCTGTGGTCTGTGGTTGCTCATGTGAATCTCGTGCCCGTAGTTATCTTTTGAACATAGAGCACACCTGTGATTAAAGACAAACAGTAAAGCGCTGTACAGCAGGGCAAAGACTAAGGGTTGCAGTGGTACTCTTACGTAATTTAAACGTGAATTTACTCGAGAGCTGACCCAAGATCTTTGCTTCTCTCGGTTGAACTTAATTTTCAGGTTGCGCATCACATTATCTTCATTTGCTGCCTTCTCTAGCGATGCCCTCTTTTATCTCTGCTCCTGAACAAGCGAATCAATGTGTGACACCTGCTGAGCTTTTAAACAAATATGATTTTCACGCATTTTACTTCAGTTTTACGGGATTATTTTTTACATGTGGGTGTGAACTTCTGCAAACTTCTGTGAATTACTGCATGACAGCGTGAAGAAAAAAGTCCAAATGAGAGTCACTGCATTGTGGCTTTATTAAGTTGAATCTAAATTGGTTGTCCTAATTATATTTTTGCATTACCTTTGAATATACTGAATGAGCCTTAGTCACTAACACCAGCAAATTGCAGAACCTCCAAAGAGCCGCAGGGCAAAAGCTTTGGTATGCCGGACCTTTTGTTGGTGAGAGGGTTTTGCTGCATGCCAGGCAGAGCAATCCAGCCAGCCCACAGGGGTCATCAGAGGAGAGAGGAGTTTTGATTATGATCATTATTTGGTAAATAAGATGTCAACAAGGTGTTTCCTTGACACTTTATTGAGTAAAAGGAGGAAGGTGCAGAAATGAACGCCCCCTTCTCAATGGGACCTCTAATCTCCCCTTTCATGTCTCTTCTCGTCTGAAGGGTTTCAGCCTCGGCTGCCATGTGCTAGTCTGCCTGGGCCTGGCGCTCCTTACTTGCAGGTGGGGTGAGTATCCTGGCAAGCATGTGTTTATAAAACCCACTTGTTTGGGCACAATACTTGAACTAACTTCTTTTGAGCGAACAGTGTGAATCTGTGCAAAGCCTTTTCCCAAAGTCCTTTAGAAGGCGACAGCCCATTGAGAGTAGAGAAGAAGGGATTACCTTCCTCGACAGTGGTGCATTTCCGAGAGAGCTGATTAGCTCTGCATTCATTGTTAAATCGAGCAAAGGAAGGCCCTAGAGGAGTGAAAGGATCCAAATAGGTGGGCCCAGAAATAAAACAGCCACAGGAAGCCTTGCACAGGCAGCCCAAAGTTTTCCCAACATTTCTTTCCCCCACTCCTAAGGAGGTGCGGCGTGAAAAAGAAGATTAGCATACAAAATTAGAGGCGGGATGATTTTTAAGGGCAACTTGCCTCATGCCCTCCACCCCCAAGGCCCTACTCTGTCTGGACAAAGTTAATTAAACTAGTATTAAACAGTGAAGAAACTTCCAAGCGCTCAGGAGTTAGGGGGCTCTTTGAGGATTACCATGATGAGGGAGAGAACGGGAGGTATTTGTTGAGGCGAAATTGAGAAAGGCGTGATGGAAGGAAGAGTACGCTGGAAGGTTGTCTATTCTTGTTTGTTTGCCCCAGAGTATCCTAACCCCAGTGGGAGCAACGCGAAGACTACGGTGGTGTTTACTCCAAACCATGAGGTATTACTGTCACAAAGAGCGTGTTAAAGAAGGACGGGAACTTTCTTCAGGCTGAATGATATACACGACTGAAGGATTTATTATTCTTTCATTTTAATAGAAAACAAAACAAAAAAAACAAAGGCAACTAAGAATAAAGCAAAACTAGGAAATGCTGTGCAATAAATTAACAATGTACAGTACAAAGTGCTTCATTTTATGTACAATTAAATACATCAGGAGGGCAGCAAGGGTCAGGGTGAGCCGTGATGGGAGAGCAAACTGTACCCAAATATTTCTTTGTAAAAATGAATTTAAAATTTAACACTGATAGTTGAAATGTACAAAGATGGCTAGGATACAACCTGATCAATCCTTGAAAATGTTGAGTTTTAAAAGTTTCATACGCCAATAGCCACATCATCCAGTCAAGTCTTTCCAAGGTTTTTGTGTCTGCATGAAAATAAATAAACAACGTTCTGGAGGATTTTGCTGTCAGAGGAAACCTTTTCAAACACCCAGTGATTTTTCAAAAATGCTGTAAAAAATATAAAAATATATCTTAAATACATTTATACCAAAAAAATTCTACAAAACTTGTAAAAAACCGCCCCTTCTCATCTCTATCATGTAACTTTGTGCACATCCCCCCCTTGTCATTAACTTTTAATACAAAAAGGACACAGAAGATGGTCTGAAATTACATTTTTTTTGCTAAGTTTTCACCCCAAACACACACTAACTGGTCATGCATGCAGAGTCTGTGTGTGGACAGGAGCTGCAGTGGCACAAATATGGTGACGGCACACGGGGGAAGTGATGAGAATGCTCAGTGTTTCTTTCTCATTCTGAGGTTCTTTCTGCGGTTGCTGGCGCTCTCGTTTCTTCCCCTCTGACCTCCTCTCTTCACACAAAAGTACTTGGTCACTGTCTTCCTGCACTGCTCGCACTTCACCGCGCAGCACCAGTGGAATTTACAATTGCAGCTCGACACCATCTCGGCTTTGCGCTCCTCCACAGCCAGCCCGCACTCTCCGCATAGTCTCTTGCAGCTGCGTTTTTCCCATTTGCTCAAGTTCTTGCCCTTCTTCAGGCACTCGCGGCCCTCTGTGCCCGGTAACCCCAGGGTGCGGTTCTCCAGGCAGTAATCGGGGGAGTCTTCGAGGTGGACCAGCTCCTTGCGAGAGATGGAGCTGAAGGTCTCGGCGATGGCCCCCCGGCTGGCTGCGCTGTTCCCAGCGCCTCGCAGAAGATCCACTTTCAGAGCTCTGTGGTACTTCTCCTTCAAGTAGTTCCCCACCTCCCTGAACTCCGGCAGCTGCAGCCAGCAGGTTTGAGTCGTGCAGCTTCCCGACACCCCGTGGCACTTGCATGTCCTCTGCATGGTCCCCTTTACAGCCTGGAGACACAGAAAGGGAAGATTCACTTTACATTGTACCGTGTTGGAGAATATTGTGATTTACTCATAGGAAAAGCAACGTACGAAATATAAACTGACTGTGCTTATGTGTCAACACACAGGTAGGTATAACTGTGCGTACAAACGTGTAAAATCTCCATTGTCTCTTGATTGATGTGTTGTCAAATTAACCGATTGTATTCTCAATTTTCTCCAGTCAAGTAAAAAAAGGGAATGAATGCACTGAAAGGAAGTTTCTTTGTCGCCCCTCAGTGTCTCCTGACTTTACCCGACACAAAACAGCTGCCGGTTGAAAAGGGGCGTTTTCTTTCCGCGAGGAGGGGATGAACTTTCTGTTGAGGTGAGGCTGAATCAAAGTTTCACATCGAGTCCTATTGTCCCCCCCAGAATAAATAGGAGTATTTATTTAGCATGTTCATTATCAACATGTTTTCCAGAGTGAGAAGACCCAATGGAGAGTCCCATTGAGTGGCGAAATGAAAAAGAAGTTTTTCTCTCTTTCTATCCCCATTTTTTTCTGTTACAATGATGCTCCAGGTGCCATGGGGATCCCAGGGCCCAACAGGGGGGAGCAAAGGCACCGTAAACAAAGAGCACTTCAGCTGCATGCCTGTGGTCCCCTCAGACTCCCCCGGGGCCAAACAAAGACCAACATAAATGTGGGATCCTTATTGCAAGAATAAAACTAAACACTTATTTTAAAAAGCAGAATAATACAGAATGCTGTGCAATGTCTGGCTCCCCAGGATCTCTAATTAAGCTTGCACCAGTGATCCTGAGATTCTTGAGTTGAGGTATTGTCATAAGGAGCATTCAGCACGGGTAAATAGGCCCTTCTGGTACACCGAACACACTGTTATTATTGGGGACGAGTGGCACCTCACTTATAGCAGCGTGAAAGGGATGCTTGGGTGGCACACTCAGTGTAATTCTGAGCAGGGAAAAATGATTCAAAAGGTGCTTTACACTCTGCAATCAGTTGGAGGGCCATGAGAGATTCTCAAAATTTCAACCGAGTTGCCACCCACTTTAAATACTGTATGGCTCAAATTAACGTTGTATAATCGTACTACATCTCATACTAAGGGCTCTCACTTCCAAATTGATCAAGAGAGCACCTACTGTACCTTGCGCCCGGCCTCGTTATTATGAAGATTCATAGCCGCTCGTGCGTCCTGCCCAGTCTCCAGCGCATCCACAAACTGTTTGGAGATGGCCTCGCCGAAGCCGACATTGTCACTGCAGCCGCCCCAGAGCCAACCGTGACCACCTAGGAGCAAAGGAACAATGTTGGGAAGTCCTACAAAAGAAGTACAAATGCTTCTTTTACACATCATCCAATATTTATGCACAAATACGTGCATTTTTCTGACCTCGTTGTCCGTTCCTGCTGTCATCACAGCCACAGTTGTCAAAGTCTCCAAGGCTGCAGTTCCTGGTTAAGGTGTACATGACCCCGGCAGAGCTGATGGCGTGGACGAACGCCGTCTCTCGATTTGCTGTCGGCAGAGAGACTCATTAAATGAACACGATCTCGTCCCATCATGCAAATTACTCTATTAAATATATATACATCACATTACAATCTCCGCCCCTTGGTAAACTAAATTAATTGCAAACGTATTGGTCAACATTCCATATTCTGTTCTGTTACCATGACACCAGTTTTTATTACACTTATAAACTATGCCTAAGTGAAGCAGATTTTTGTATTATTTGTAGTTTTGACTCTTTGTCCCTGTGAATCTCAGTCTATTGCTTTCATAAGCTGCAGATAGAGGCACTGATTCTGTGGGGATGTTTTGAAATGGATTAGCGTGTTTGTTCTGCCTCTAGCAACTGTAACTATCCCCGAGGGTGATGAATCTTTTGACTGAGCAAACATTTCTATTTCACAAAGGAATAAAACCCTCCCCACTAGCACAGAACCTTGAGACAAACAGAAACACAGGGCGACAAAACACTTTTTTAAACACCTTTGAAAATCCATTGGCCGTGTTTCCCATTCGGGGCTGGGACGTCGCCCCGGTTGCTGCGTAGAGATGTTTGAGATGGTGTTAAGGCTTTCTGCTCGCTGGACTTACCACTGCGCAGGCTGCTGTGTGTGGACAGCTGCAGGGCTCTCTCGGGGCAGTTCCAGCGATCCCATGCAAACTGGTATTTGCACTCCTCGATGCCACTCTGAGCTCCGGCCGCCACGCTGCTGGAGTAGATCAGGTATGCCTGCAGCAGCAGTAGGGATACGGTATGATATAAACCCAAAAAACTACGTGCAGGCATCTCACATCATTTGCATTTGTGATTTCAAGAACTGTGTGTGCTTTTAAAGTATCTTGTATGATTTCATAACATGTAAATACACTTTAGATTATTGAATTTAGCACTGACTTTGAGGAAGATTTGCCTGATGCAAGATATTTAAGTGGTTGCATTGTATCTAATGAATCCAACCTAATGAGTAGCATATAAATTACATTAATGAATCATTTCAGACAGATACCAAAGAGTCACTAGTTTGATTCAACAGAGGCTGGAAATTGTTCCGATGTTGATAATTTTTGCAAGTAGATCCAACAAGCCATCAGAGTACTTCAGAGAATTTCTAAAACAAGTCTGACTTTAGTCAAACCAGGAATACTTTTGTGAACCAGCCTCTTTAACATCTATATATTTTCACTGTTGACCAATACGTAACCTAATTTATTACAGATGTTTCAAAACGTGGGAAGAGCAGATAAAAAGTCCTCAATGTTTGGGAGGTTTCAGATCATGATGTTTTGTCAGTTTCGCAACAAAAAAAAAGTGTGAACTGAGTCAAACTGACCTCAGACACAAACTTTTTTAAACTCTGTCAGCCGCAGTGAATGTGGAGCTTTGTCGGACCAGTACACTCTGTCCTTGGCTTTCGCCTGTTGCTCTGCTGCTTGTTCAGACTGTGTGAATGATAATATAACTAATATGTTTCAAGTGGCCTTCAGGGAGATGGAGTACCACCTCTTTCACAGGGGTCTGGCTCTCTAATGATGACCACCCACTACAGCAATGCCTGCCCTTGCCTCTTAACACATTCAACCCACGGATACACAGAGCCTCTGAATAAGGTCAAGTGTACGGAGGGGGGGTAAAAAAAAAAGAAATCACAAAAGGCCAAGAATATCACTGATATAGTGCCATTGTTGCATACAGACAGGTACCATAGCTTGTGCATACACTTGAGTTGAGATACCGACAAGGACCACGGTTTCTCTCCCTCTCTCTTTTGGGAAAAGGAGAAGAGAAAAGATCAAAAGAAAGTTGGCTTACCTTGGGTCCAGTCATCAAGAAATTATTCACTGACCTGGAAAAGGAGACAGCTTATTCACTCGGGGAAGCTCAGTGTCCTTCGCAAATTCCTCTGCTAACATCTCTCATTAGTGCACTTAGTAACATGTTAAACTGTGACACCAGTGGGCATCCAAACCCTAAGGGAACCATACTGCTGGAAAGTTTTAGAAATGAAAGAGCTGAGGCAACTCAAATCTCATTCTATTAGTCATTTTTATAATGCTGCTATAAATTTGGGTAATCCATGTACAAATGTCCTCAAGCATGCCATTATAAATGTTAGTAAATCATTAATAAATGGTTTAAATGCATCATGGCTGCAGTTTTAAGCGTTAAGCTCGATGGTTTTGGTCCAGATTTTGGTTCATTTTGATCATCTGCAGCCCTTTTTTTTGTTTATAAGATATTAAAAAGAAACTTTCACCAAAGTTTTCTTTATAAATGGGTTAAAACAAATCTATGAAGCAGCTGTAAATGTTTAATAAAACTCTGATAAGGTCATTAATCACACTTTATAATCCCTTTTAAAAAGGGTATCTTATCAGAAAGTGGCACTGTTGTAAAAAAATGAAATATATGCAGGAAAAAAACAAGTGTTTAATGTCTATCTACCTCTGTGTGTTCAATCAAGCAACATTAAGCCTTTTGAATATTCATCTAACGATTCATGAGAAAATGTACCAAAATTGCGAATGAAAATGAAACTCACCAGCAGCAGTACGACCTCATGTGAGCCAGGAGGATGAAAATGTAATAGAAAACCTCCCAGTGCACGAACATCCTGACAGGTGAGCTCGTCCAAAGCCTGCAGACGCTGTAACGATGGAGAGGAGACTGAGCTACCAGCACATGAAACTTCACCAGGGGCTTCCAGGATTCAAGGAGGGGGCTCTGAAATGGAGCTGCTCTCGTCCCAACAAGAGATTATCTGCTTAATTAAAGATTTTCCCCCTTCTTACCCTCTTGGCCAATCAGAAGTATTGCAGCAAGGAGAGACTGAGATGATCAAAAAAGGCACCCTGGGCCTTCAGGGCCGGGCAACGGTGGGCTCCCTGCCTCCATTCAAGAGCAAAGGAAGATCCGTTTAATCCTATAGGAAAAGTGTAACACTGATCCCCTGAATTTCTGCTCGGGAAAAAGGGTTTATTTAGGATATCAAACACGCAGCTGATTGTCAGGGATTAGTGGGAGATAGGCCCGTGGAAGACGAATTGTTAGTTTGATAGATAAAAAGGCCGCCTCTTACTGTTTGTTCTTGAAGTAATTCGTGGATTCACAATTGATTGAATCAGCGTCTATCACACTGGAGCACAGGGACGATCACTCAGAGGGTCAAACTGCAGCGCTGAATCACAAATTCGGTCATATTTGAAAGAGGAACTATTCTATTTATAACATTCTGCAAAGGAACGAGCTGCAGGTGCGTGCGTAAAACGTGTCCATTCCCGTTGCGCACAAGAGACGCGCAGTTGAATTGGTTCGAGCTGCAGGTGATGCGAGCGTTTCGTGGTGTTTTATGTTCGCATTTTTCCAGAGTTTTAAAATTCACCACGGGATGATTTTAATTGGTTTAGGAGCCCGGAGGGTTGAACAGAGACAGTTTCTCAGAGTGATGATCCCCCTCCAGCAGAAAATAAAAGGTGGATTGGGACACAGCGAAGGCCCGTAGCTATTGATTATATAGCCGTAGAGACATTTGCATCACTAATCCAGACGGTCCTTTCCTAACACTGCATGAAGGGTTGTTCCCTTAATAACCCCGTCTGACCCTTAGGTCCCTTTCCTTTAGCGCAGGCAGGCCTTTTGCAATCTTCTTGTGTGCAAATTAGGATTAGAGGAAGAAAAAAAAAGTGATTTGGAAGGAGGGGGAACTTCTGAGGGATGTTTTTGGATTAAGATTTAAAGAGAAATGACAAGTAAAAGTAGGAAAGCATCACCAAAAGGGACATTGGGTGAATAAGTCATTGCCTCAGAGCCACAGTGTACAATAATTGTTGCCAGCATGTGCTCTAAATCTGGGGAAATTTTTTGTACCCAACATAATATGCATGTGTTAAACTTTGAGTTAATTTATCTGAATCATTTCAATCAACCTGACTCAGATTTGATTCTTCTGAAAAAAAAAAAAGGTCAGCAGCAGCACCTTCCTCTCAGTTGGACACGCTCATCGAGCTACAACTGTGTGACCACAGTGAACTGTCTGAGCTGCAACACTGAGGTGTTACATGCAGCCAGAGGATGGCCTGACAGTCAGCAGCCAATGGACAGAGGGCTGATGTCACTGCTGGGGCCACAGAGATCAGCAGCAATGACACCACTTTCAGTACATTTGGACTCAGACAGGTGGCCGCAACCCCAGACTCCAGAATTTAGATTTTCTTCCTAATATAAATTAATTGCTACAAGCAAATCACATTTAGAGCTTTTACACAGAGCAAGGGAGTAATGCACTGTGGTGATTCATTCACTTGCTATAATGTAACTCTCCAACAGAGGGAGCAAGTGCAAAAAATCCTTAAATGGGTGAAAGTTCTTGGTGGCATGAAACCTCCTTATTGACCCCAGAATGGAATTTTTTGTCTTTTTGTTTGCCCACTAAATACTGCAGGGATACATCAGCAGGAATGTTAAATGATGACTGGGCATTTTTAAAGTCAACCCATGTTACATTGCCACAGGGATAACAAAAAGGATCAACATATCTGTTTTTAAGTACACATGAGGCTGCAAAACATGAAATGCTTCACATAGAAAAATCTGCCCTACCTGTAACCTCAAGGAATGTTCAAACCATATCTGCAGATCATGAAAAAAATGTAGAGGTGGCGACACACGTGCAGCATTCTTTTGTACGACTACATCACCGGCTCATGTAGGTGAGACACATGTGCCAAGAATAAACAACAGAAGTGGATCTTTATCAGCTCAGGCATGTAGACAGGAGACAACGCTTTCAATTTACAAGTACAAGATGTCTGAAAACATGTGGGACCGAAGCTGGAACTGCAGTAACTCACCCGCGAGATGGAAGAAGATAAAGCATTCAGAGATAGTTAACTCCTGTTGGTTAACTTATGGGATCAGTATGTAAATGCATGTGCTGCATGCATTGTACGACTGTCAGTGAAGATCCGGTGATTTCCACAAAGGTAAAAATGCACATGTCACTATGCTGCACAGTGGAAATGTCTCAATGAACAGCTTTTCATGTGAATATACACAGAAGATTGTGTGCTTTTTGTTTGTCACGTATCAAATATTTCTTCACATAAATCCCCAAAATATCAATATTATTGTCAATCTGTCGATTACTTTGATTAATTAGTTGTTTGTTCTATAAAATGTCAGAAAATAGTAAGTTTTAATCAGCGCTTCCCAAAACCAAAGATCAAATGTCTTATTTTGTCCACAACCTTAAAATATTCTGTTCAATATTATCAAGGAGTAAAGAAACCAGAAAATATTCAAATTGAAGAAGATGGAATCAGAGAATTTTGACATTTGTCCTTTAAAATGTACTTAAACCAATTAACTGATTAAAAACAAAGTTGAAAATGTAATAGTTTAATACCACTTAGTTATTTGACGAGTATAACTTCCATTTTCTGTTAAATAAGCATCAGGCTGACAGTGGCTTGTTACTTTATTGTACAGTTAGTATAATAAGTAGTTATTGTAGGGTCCATAACAACTGATTGAAAAACAAAATGTAACAAAAACGGTGCGATCATAGTTTTTTTTATTCAGTATATGAATAAGGAGTATTACAGAATTCCAACAAAAACAGCAAAACATACTTGGTCACATGTAGAAAATTTGGTTTATTTACGGTACATACGATACATACAAAAACATTCTTTGAAAAAAATGTGCCATTTTTAACACTGTAGAAAATTGTTGCTCTGTAAAAGAGGAATCATGACAAATATTACAATGTTAAGTTTGGATCTTGTTTTAGAGCAAAGGATTTGTTTGGTTAATGATTTGTTGTTGTTGTTTTTTTCTATTATAAATACGAGATTTCCGTTTTTTTTCAAGTGTTCCGTAAAAGCAGACAGACATCAAACAACTGATTAGACAGAAAATTTTAAGCCCTAATTTATTTCTACAACTTGCACATTTTTCTTTTTCTTTTTTTTTAAACAGGTGTGCAACCCTCATAAGGCATTTTGGGCAAGACTCCTGACATGTTTGAGTAATATCACACAGCACGAAAAGGGTAAATGCAACTCCTACACATGCCTCATTGGCCTTAATCTGAGGGGAGCGAGAACTTGTGAATGTATTTCAAATGAATACAAAACAAAAGCAAGTTTAAGAGTGACAAGTCTGATTTTATCTTTCAGTCCAGAGGCACCTACATGAAGAGGGTTAATGATGAAGTCTGAGGTGGCTTCACATCTCAACCGGAGGTATAAATTGCACCATACCAGAGAATTTAATCCTCATTAAGAGCCCCTGGCACAGTTGGGTGTCAAAGTATCCCCAAGTATTTGAACTGCATCCACCCAGGATGACCCAGGTATGACAAATGGGGATCGTTCAGTTCAGTTATCTTGATGTTGGCCTTAAACAAAGCAGCCTATAGTTTAGTAAGACTACTAGCTTACCAAAAATAGAGAAAAGCTTAGCTTAAAACAGACAAATATCAAGATATAACTTCACTCCTTGCGGAATGAAACAAAGCATTACTGACAGAAGTTAGGGCAAAAAAAAAAACTTCAATCTTGTCTGCAGAGAAACCTCACTATTAAGGGCTTCAATAAAGCTCTCAAAGTGCCAAAGACTATTAATAAATAGCAAATTAATAAATACAACTTACAGTGAATTATTACTGCTTTGACACACTGCTCACACAGACTTGTTTTAATGTCCTAAAGTGGCTTCATTCTTCCTTGTGCCTGTTTGATATTTTTTGTGAAAAAGCTGTGCTTGCACATGTAGCCAAGTTGCTACCTGTAGCTAATAGTCAGTGAGGACACTTCAAAACTTAAAGAGACCCACACATTTTATGGGAAGGTCAAGAACTCTTTAAAGCCAATATTAGTCTCAAGAAGAGGTTTAACTTACAATGAGAAGCATGGTAATCACCACCCCACCAGTGAAATGCAGCTATACCTGTTGCTACGGTCTGTCTTGGTTCGACATCTTATATCAGTTACAGAGATGGGGAGCCGTGTGACTCAGCCACTTTTGTAGCTGTTGTCGCCCGTTCTCTGTATGCGAGCAACGATCATTTCCTTTGAAACCCTCTTGCAGTCCTTGGCCAAGCCCATGAAGCACATGAGGTCTATAAAGGCCGTGGTGAGATTGAGCTTGCAGCCAAACTCACTTGTGGCGTAGTCAAAGGGGAATGTGTGATGGTAGTTGTGAAAGCCTTCCCCTGAAAGACAAAAAGGAAAACTCAGTGTTTAACGAAATGCCAGCAAAGTCAGAGGCATAACCTGAATGAGGATATGCATGACTATGACAGAGAAACATACTTTATAATGAGGCTGACAACAATCAGATGTTACATTTATATTCATTTGAGCACATCACAGGATTGTGGCAGCGTGACAAACAGATGTTGACAGCATGTGACTGGTAATTTGATTTGACGCTAAGTGGAGACATTTTTGAACTTCCTAAAGGCTGACTGTCATTTTACGTAATGCACAAGCTAGTAAAGTCTAATTTGACATATTATACTACTCAGACCATCACAGTGACACAAGCTAAAACTGTAGATCTATCAGAAGTGGGGTGAAGCTGAAACTTTACTTTCATCTTCAATTGCTTGATGTAATTCCGTGTACTTCTCAAGTTTATGAGTGATTCACAAGTGTGCATGGAGCTGCCCTGCAGACCGCAGTCCATGTGTACAAGTAGGTAGCTGTCCATGAATGCAGACTCAACATGCACTGAGCAGTCCTGCGTCATTAGTGAGTCCGCAATCTGTGATCTGTTATCGCCGTGACACTGTGTCATATCAGTGCCCACATACATTAGTCAAGTAAAACTTCTACTTATCTTCTATCAAGGTTGAATCAACACTGCAAACAATGAGCAAAGATATAACAACTTTAGGAGATACAGCAGCTACAAATCCCAATGGAGCAATGCAGTAGAAAACACCTGATGAACACTTAGAATTGTACGGTCCACCCAGAAAGAAATGATATATTATACATAACATAAACATGTAAAACTGATTTAGATTTTTTTTTTATTTTTTATGTTTTATTTATAAATCCAAAACTCGGATGCAGTGCTTCATGGCTGACTTTCATGCTAAATAGGCTATATCATTGGAGACAAACCTCTGGTACGCAGTAGTAAACAATCCAGGAGACTATTCAGGTGTTGATAAGCACAGCGTTTGTCATCAGAAAGTATCAAATGTGAATTTAGGGCACTTTACTACGCCATTTACTAAGATCGTGTTTACTACAGCTGGTCATGTGCTTTGGTACGAGCAAGTCTTATGGAAAAACTGTGTGAAACTAGTTAAATGACACAATAGCTGGGACGTAGAGGGAGGTGAAAATGACTTCAGTACATAATTGTTTCCACTACGCTTTTTCCATTTACTCACAGCAGCAGGAGAGCATTTAGCTAGGTGCGGTGCAGTATAAAAAAATTTAAAAAAGCATTCTTTAGTGCAAGTTTGGTGCAAGACAATGTTAATCCTGGTAACATTACATGAAAATACAGTTGAAAGTGAAATGTCTGCCAGAATTGTGCATTCCTTTGCAATCATTAGTTAACTTGTGAATTTAGTAGTGTTTTGTAGTCAACAATGCTCAGCGCTGTTTGCAGCATCACACCCCCCTGTGGTGCCACCCACCACAAAGAAAGTCTTGTCTCATGGGAAACAATGTTGCTAAAAATAACATCAGCGTCCAGCTCTCAAAAACAACTAAACATATAGCTTGAAAGCTGACCGGTTCTGCATTTGAACTCCAGAACTGGCATGGGCAGGACAAGATAAACACCAGATGAGAAAAGTCTGAATGTCTGAATCCGCGTTCAGAGAGAGCCCCCACTGATAACTTGACAAGACAAATGATGAAAAGTCCATTCAAGCATCCCTCAGGCACATAAAGACACTTATGTAGTCACAATACAGTATGAGCACATTGCTACTGGATGGGTAACAGTGAGAAATGAATCCTTACCTATGGCACTGAAAGCAACCAGTGGGTTTTCTCTCGGGTTGATGGACTTGTCGTACGGCCTGTTGCCCCATATGTGTGCAGCGCTGTTGACCAGCCAGGTGGCATTAAGCACCACGGCATACCTCAGGACTCCAGGGACGAAGTATCCCACACTTAAGGATTCACCCCAGAAGTACCAGGGTACCAACATGGGTACAAGGAAGCAAAGGATCACCACAGAGAGCTTGTAGTGCCTGAAATGAAAGAACAAATAGCTTCACACACAGAGGTTCGCTCTCATTTGGTGGCAAGTCCTTTTTTTAAATGTCAAAACTCACACAATACATTCTACAATGTAACAAAATGGATGCAAATGAAAACAACAAATCAAAATCTGTACCCGAGACAGGGTTAAAGCTCCCATGAAGCCCACAAATGTATTTGTTTAGTAGCACGATTATCTGCAGATAATTTGCACATTAGTTCACTGCACGCAGTCGACACTGCCTTCTGACTGGGTGTCTCTGACCATTAATCCCCTTTGCCTGAGAGCAGAAGTGAAAATCTGGGACTGCTTCCAGAGGACTACAAATGTTGACCAGTCAGTTGATACTGTGTGGACACACTGTGAAGTGTTATCATGGTCACTGTAAGTCTACAACTACAACATCCTGTACAATTTGAGCAAGAGAGGAAATTACTTTTAATAACCAGACACAAAGTGACAACACAGGCTGGAATTTGTACAGGATGTTAATATTCCACATTACATTCGGTGCTACTGCAGGAACAAGTGTGAACTGCATAAATCACTTTGGGTAGTAAAATTGTGAAAGCCCACATGATAGATGGGTGTAAGTGATGTGCTTTTGACACCCGACACTGAAGGTTCATAGTCTGTCTGACTAATCGGTGTTGACATTACTAAATCATGAACCGTAATCATTTCGTTACATTTTCTTCAACCACAAAGTAGTGTTGACTCTGAGATGAGTATCTACATGAAAAATGTTGATCATCTTGCTTGCGTGAGTGTTTTATCTGATGCACTGAAGAAAAATAAAGTGCCATTCATATTAATATTTGCAAATGGATGGATAAGACTGTGCTGTCATAATGCAGGTGGCATTTTAGTTTTTCTCCCTGGAAAGGCTGCAGTTAGTTTACATTTTTGCCTGAGCACAATAGCTGCACAAAAGATATGATCGCTGCACAACAGCAATGAATTACTAGAACTTGTAATTACAGTGAAGAGTGACAGCGGTTGATTACATGTTGTCACTTGCTACAACTGCCTAGGATCTGCTTAGACTGCATTGTTGAGCCTCTTCCACATTCGACAAGACAAGAAAAACCATGAGTCAAACTGTGTAACGCTTTCTCACCGTCTCTGGAACATAACCACTTCATCTGCCTTCAGGTCTGACAGCTCCAGCTTCTTTCCCTTTTCAATGACGTCTGGATGTTTGCGAACCAGCAGCCAGCCGATGTGAGCGAAGAAGAACCCCCGCGTGGCGTTGTGGGGGTCTGCGTCTGTCTCGGAGTACTTGTGGTGGACGCGGTGGTCCCTCGCCCACTCATATATGTCGTTCTGCACACACACAGACAGGCAAAGATAGAGATGACTGTGTGAGGCGCCTATAGATTATACACGTTAGTTTCAGATCATCAGATTAAGGTCAGTGATCGGCTGATGGAGGAACAATAAATACATCACTCAGATTATGCATTTTCCTGATACAGTTATTCAGAAAGCCATGGTAGTGCTACTTCATTTTGTAAATATGATTAATATCAAACATGAAAATAGCTTTAAGATCCCCCTCCATGTTGTATGACATATAAACACTGTGTTTGAACAACAGAGAATATGAATGCAGCAGAAATATGTATAACTGTGTGTAACTGCTGCCAAGTTGTAAATGATGATGAATACACGTGAAACATATGAACACCGTTTTACCTGAAATGCCATAGAGTTGGCGAGAGCGAGGAAGACTCGCAGGGGAAAAGAAGCCTTATAGGATCTGTGGCTCCATAATCTATGTGCACCAGCAGTCACACCGAGAGCACTGATTAAGTAGCACACTGCAGCTGGAAGAGAGAGAGAGGTGGAAAAGTGAGGCATCTCATGGGAAACTGTCACCACTGCACTGAGATAAATTTTACACCCATGAGAGCAGAGTCACTGGGACACCATGTTCTTTTCATAACACTCAGGCCTTTTTGTTCAGAGAAAAGTCATCTATGCAGGGAGACGGGACGGTGGGAGCACGCAGGTCTGCCCTCACACTTTTGTTGTTCTAAAACTGCTGAATGCATTTCTATGTGAAGCCTAGACAACACTTGTCCAGGATTTGAGAACCGGGGGCTTCTGATTGGCAAAGAGCATTCTGTTGTGGTGTCACGCAGCTTACAATGGGATGTCTATAGGAATGGTGATTGTGCTTTGTCTTCCCCAGTGAAATAATATGCAGCTCAGCATTGCAAAGAGAGGGGAAAATTATGCAGTGCCAGAGTGGAAACAAAGTTGAGATTGTTCGGGAATTTGAGTCATGCCTCACTTGTCGACATTTATAGAGCAGAAATTCAAATTATTCAGCAAACTGTTTGACTAGTACCACTAAAATTCAAATACTTCTAATTTAGGACACATTCCAGCAAATCCAAATAGTTTACATTCAGCCACAGGTTTGAGCTGCCCCTAAAGAAGGGCAGAAGCTTGCAAGCATGTAGAGAAATTAGGAGTGTATGCCCTCCTGATGGCTTCTAGTTCTATGTGTATATAAGACAGATTTCAAACATAAAACAGACTCAACCTGAGTAAACAACAAATACAAGTTTTACATGATAATTCTATGTATTGAAGCTAAAATGTTATCTAAACCCAACTTGCTCTGTGTGACAAAGTATTCACCCCCTTAGGCTAGTTAAACACTAATTCATTTTTTATTTTAAAAAGGCATTTTAAAACAAAAACTACTCCTGCGTTTTAGGAATATTCTCAGTCCATGCCAACATGCCTGAAAACGCATACTACATGTCAGCATAAACAGGAAGCAGACAGTTGGTAGTTTAGATGTGGAGTCATGTGACAGTGGGGTGTCGAATGAGGAAGGGACATGTAGTGGCTGGTCGGACACAGACAGGAAATGCATGGGGGGTGTCTGCACCATTGTTTCCAAACGACTCAGACATTTCTGAAGATCTTCACCCTGTAAGAAGGGGGTAAAAAGCTTTCTAAAACGTCAGTGACTTGAAAACTGTGTGGACAAAAGGCCAAACCACATAGAAATGGTTGTATTTTTCAAAAACACCAGTGCACTTGTGGACAGTGGCTTCGTTACTATATCCCAAAAAATCTACCAAACTCTATTGATTACAGGGTGCAGCTGGACCAGACACACCCAGGCATGTCTGCCACCAGGCCTGTTCAGGCAAAGTGTTACTTGAACAGGACATTTGCAGAAGCAGGAAGTCAGGTGATTGATCTTACCAGTAGCACACTATGGCAAAATCAAAAGACATTCCACAACAGGGATGGGTTACCAAACTATTTATAGAATTTTGGCACTCCATGTGTCCAAAATGAGATCATTTATGTTCAATTGGAGAAAAGCTAGAACAGTGAACCTCCCCAGAAGTGGCCGATCTTCCAAATTTCCTCCGAGAGAAGCGTGACAATTCTACGACAACTCATCCAGGAGGTCAGTGAAGATCTAGGAAAAACATACTTGTGACTTTAGGACTCGCTCAGCCCAAAAAATGTCCGTGTTCATGGCTACCCTATTCAAAAAATATTCAACAGACATGGCACCTGAAGACTATTAGGGTTTGTCTGAATGTTGTTGGAGCAGTTGATCCTGAATCTAATCAGGAGAATGTTCTGTGGCCTGATGAACACTTTGACTGCAGTAAAGCCTGAAGTTGGTAGAGTAATGTTGTTGGGATCCTTTGCTGCTTGGGGGCAGCTTGCCATAATTGAAGGAAACCAGGAAATCCTGAAGGAGGACGTCAGGTCATCTGAAGCTAGAAGTTCAAGGCCTACTCGGTTACGCAACAGGACATTGATGCCAAGCATAATAGCAAGTGCAACTCTGAATGGCTCAAAAGGAATAAAATTAAAGTTCTGGAGTGGCCTAGTCTAAGTGCTTGACCTGAACCTCACTGAGATGCAGTGGCAGGACCCAAAATGAGCAGCTCACGCTCTCAAACTCTACAATGCGGCTGCACTAAAACAGCTCTGCAAAGAACAGTGGGACAGATATCCACCACGGTAACGCCACAGAATGATCTCCACTTATTGGAAGCGTTTAGTTGCAGTTGTTGCTGCTGAAGGTGGCACAACTTGCTCTTAAGTTCAGGAGAGCGATAACTTTGTCACATTGACAATCAGGTGTTAGCCAACCTTTTTATTTTAACAACCAGAATCACAATTTAAAACTTGTATTTTGTGTGTACTCCTGTTGAGTTGTTTGGTAACCAATTTGTCTGAAGATCTGGCACAGTTTAGTATGACAAACGGATAAAAACAAAACAAATCAGGAGGGAGCCTAATACTTTTTCACTGCACTGCACTTCACGCTGAAAATTACAAGGCCAGAATGACTCATTCTCTATTATTCCCATAGGCATGATCCCTCAGGCAGTATGCACTGTAGTTAGCAATGATCACACATCATCAGCACATTCTGTTCTCTGACTGTGGCCCACAGGAAGGAAAAAAAACCAACAAAACGACTGCAAATCTGATCCTGCAACAGTATTTGCAAAAATACTTACTCCATGCAAGAGTTAAACACGATGCGGAGGGAAGGAGAAGCAGTCCATAAAGCGCAGCGATATGTAGGAGGGACATGAGTATGATATTTCTCCACACAAACATCCTCGGCGGTTTCCCCTCTTTCTCTTTATAGGTGTCGTCAAAAACATCATCCGCAGTTTCTGCCATGGCATCTCCGTTTTGCTGCTTGTCAGCGTGTTGATTCCTGGTTTCGGCTTCGGTCATTTTTTTTTCCTTTCCAGAGGGCCCCTGTTGTAACAGCAGTGCGAAAAGGGAGAGATGTTGCTCAGTTAAATGCGCACCGCGGGATGCAGAAACAAGAGAGGAAGGTACGGCGGCTGGCTGTGTTCATGCACTCTCCAGCAGCGCCGGGGTCGGATAGTGGCTGCAAGCATGCCTTTCTTCTGCTGCCACACTCCCTGTCATTTATAAGGCGGTTTTCTTTCTGTTTTTTTCTCTTTTTTTGCGTAGCGCTTCAATACTATTGGTATAGTTTAAATAGTTAAAAAAAAAATCTCACGATCCACTGTCATAAGTTACATCACTTTCCACCGCCTACTGATTCTCATTAGCCCAGTGATTCATGGTAAACCGCTACTTGTGAAGCTTTGTACGAGTGTTTAACCAGATTCCGGGTTTTCCCCAGCAATCAGGCGACAGGCCACTTGTTTTTAGATGATTCTTAGTTGTACAGTTCAGGAAACAAGTCTTTACAGCGCCTCACGCAAAGGGCGGACGACGCTGAAGTTAGCTTCAGGTTGGCGTAGTTAAGGGAAATGTTAAGGGAAACTTAACTTGCAGCTCTGAGCGAGTGTTGTGTAATTTTAATAATATATAATCGCGACAATATATGTTTTCAGTAAACCCAAATGTAAAGTACTAAGACTTCTGTGCTTTTTTTTCGTCTCTGGACCACATTAGACTTTAGGTTTAGTTCAAAAGCCACTGGTGCTGAAGCGGTCTAATCTAAATGGAAAGCACAGCCTCTGGTTTGTGAACATCTTTCACCAATATGTAGAAATGCAAAGATTACAGGGTTTTCCGTTACTGTCACAGAAACTGTGTTTTACAGACTCGTTAGATTCTGTACAACAATCTAGTCCTGATCTGACTAGCTTATATGGAGTGACTTTTGATGTGGACCAGGTCCAATGTGGTCCAGATGCAAAAAAAAAAAAAAAGAAGAAGATAAAAGCAGGGCAATTTCCCTTGTGTTTTTCACAAATAGAATAAACATTTCACAAATCCAACTGTGTGGTTTAAAAAGAGAACATCCTTTACTTCAGCCATCCATCTAAGCATAGTGGCTACAGACATTTATGTAAAACTTTCATGTTGTCAGATTTAAGAAAGCTTGTGTGAAAAATGCAAAAAAGAAAGATTTTGCTGCTTTTTTCTCTATTAGATGATATTCAACCAGATATAGATCTAAGCCAGCACAGCCATTAACAAGGATAGTTCACTGAAAAGGTATTTTTTTAAAAAATAGCAAGGCTATTTTCTGCACCATCTATCATTGGGGGAAAAAAAAAAAAAAAAGTATATTGGTTGCTGTCCAAAAGTAGAACTTGTTGTTTCACATAGCGAAGGGGATTTTGAAAACAGTAGCACATAGATAGAAAGGGAGGAGAAAGCCATGTGGCATGTGGCCAATCTGTATCCGGTAAGTCAGACTAGGGCCTCGTAAAACCAGGTCCAAATCGAAAGCTGCAGAAACGCTGTTTTAAAGACTCTTCAATCTCTGTAAAACAATCTAGTCCAGATTTGACCAGTTTAAACACAGTGGCTTCTGATACGGATCTGGTGTAATGTGGTCCAGATGTGAAAAAAAGCATTGAAATCTCCCCTTTTTGTATTTTCATAACATACATCAATATGAGACAGATTAAAGGTATCACAAAACAGAAACAACGTTGTAGCCTTTCTGGGATGATCTAGTCCAGAGTTGATCTGTTTTTATGATATGACTGTAGTTCAACGCCTTGTCTGATGCGGTCACCATGCTTTAAAAAAAAAAAAAAAGCAGAGAAATCTCCAGGGTTTGTTTTTTTTGTTTTTTTGTTTACATTTTTACAAACTGAATCAGAGTTGGGCGGGTTGCCTCAAGCGTCTATCATTATCATACATCTAAAATAAGTGGCGTGGAAACAGAAAACCGGTTTAAGATTCCCTTAACTTTTCCCCTTAACTTGCCAAGTCAGAAGCTCCACATCAGAAGCTGACTTCAGCGTAGTCTCCCCACAGCACATGAACACGGTGGAACACACCCACTGCCACACAGCCCTCCTCCCCACGGACCATGTCACTGCATGTCGCTGCTGTTCTCCAGGCAGATGCTACTGTGAGCCCACGGACGGCTGTAAAACTCGCCGGGCTACTGCCACTATATCTGGAATAGGCACTTTACTTTTAGCGCTTGTTTCGTCACGTGACTGTTTTATTGGTGAAAATTTTACAAATAAATAAAGAGATAAGATATAAATAAAAAAAAAGGGCCACAGTATTATACTATAACAACACCTCTTGTCTACGTTTATTTGTGACAGACGTACTTATCTGTTAAGCTAAGCTAGCTTTGCTAAACTAGCTTAAAAAAAATGTTAACCATATTGAAAGTTTGGCCACTCACAATAGCAACACTTAGCAACTGAGTGAGTTATAACGCATTTTTCTGGAAGTTTATAAAAATATAAAATAGAATTAGTTACAGTAATGTTGCATAAAGTTGAATATGTCGGCGTAATAGCACTAATAAGCTGTTTAAGCTAACTTACTTACCTGCTAGATGCCAGTACCCCAGTGGAACGCTCACCTGCTTAAATGCCACTTTGATAATTTCCATTTAAATTGGTGTGTTAGCTCACTCTGTCCTCTCCTAGCTGAGGCGGGTAAAGCTTGCTGCACAACTCACCTGAGGTGTCGGTACAGATGAAGGCAGGTGCTTCTCTGCTGCTCAGCTACTGAAGTCCTCCCGACTGTCTCCTCCGAGGTTGTTTTAAAGCGGTCGGTGAGGAAACTGATGCCAACGACTGTAAATGTCCCCCATTGGCTGTGTCCTTAACTGATGTTTACCTCCCTCCCTTTTTTCCCACTATCAGAATCATGTTAAGCACCATAGCTGTTGCCCAATCTTTTTAGATCAGCGCCTTGATCTCAGTCTGAATCTTTTTATCTGATGAAAGGCTGCACGAGGCTGCCACATAGGACCATGATGTCATACAGCAGTGATAGTCCATCAATAAATGCAATCAAATGACTGACCCTTCACCCAAATTGACAACTCACTTATATCCGGACAATGAGGACTTTAGTACTAATTTTCCCTGTTTGCGAAAGTCTGCACTTCACGGTTGTACGCTGTGGCACTTTTTTTGGTAGATGTGAAACATATTCCAATCAAATACAAACACAAAAGGTCTGTCTCAGATGTTGAAAGACAGAATAGACACAGAACATCTTACTGAAAGACAAGAATAAGGAGGAGTTACACTTTACAACCAAGATGTGACTGATATGCAACTAAACCACACAAAAAAAAATATTGTGAACAAAATCTGTTTGTTTTTTTTCTCCAAATGTTAAACTTAAAAAAAAGAAGCAGTCACTTTCTTCCCAACAATGAGGTTATTCAGGAGCAACTTTTGACTGTGGCCACAGTATTCTAGCTTTAGCTGGATGTAAAGCATTTTCCAGAAGGAAACACAAAAGACATTTCTTTTAATCAGATGTTGAAATCAGTTGAAGTCAAAGACAGAATAGAGAGAAATCATCTCAGTGAAACACAGAAAAAAATAAGTGGGAGTTGGTGTGCAGCCAAATTGTGATGATTGTGTGTAACTTTTTAACATCCTTTGTGTAAGCATAGTTTAGCCACTAAACCGCTGACATGTATCGTGAACAACTTTGGTAAAGTTTGCCAGAAGAGAAGCAGAGGCACTTTCCTCCAAACAATAAGATGCTTAGTGGTCATTTTTCAGACTTTGCAAGCTTTACTGAATCATTTCAAAAGCCTCGTCTGATTTCTTAGTTGTAAACTCAGGTTGAAAAATGCAAAACACTTTCACACAAAAAAGATTTTTCAGATATTGGATTCAGCAGACAATTGACAAAATAGACAGAAAACATTTTCATAAAATGAAGAAAAACTGTTTGTGTTAAATTTCATAGCCAAGATGTAAACATTATGTGTCACTTTTTACACCCTTTAATGAATAACTTTGCCAGTAAACCACAGAAATATATTGTGAACAACTTTGGTAAAGTTTGCCAGAGCAGATGCAGACATGAGTAGAATATCTTCAGTGATTTGAACTCTAGGACCCTGCCAGTGCGCAACTGGGAGGTAACAAAAGTTCATTCCCCAGACACACATGATTTCATACATAAGCATAATCATCCCACTCAACAGAGGAGGGAAAAAAAAACTCCCTTAAGGTCAAGGCCACTTTGTCGCAATGTATGACTTCAAATAAACGACAGTGACCTCACTGGAACACATCACTGCACTGTACACTCATTGTGTGTTAAACTTTAGTGAACTGGTAGTGTAATGTAATGAACTCATAACGGAATTGTGCAACAAATGTTGTAGATTTTTTAAGATAATGGATGGATGTGAGGAAGCTGTAATGGTGCCACCTGGTGCACAAATACAGCTACTGCAGGGCCACTGGAAACCCTGCTCACAGCTTATGTTTTTACACATCAACACAGGAAAGGCACATTTGTAATACTGGCATTAATAATAGCTGTATTCCACTTAGATGAGGAAGGTCCAGGGTTTGGTTTATTGTACATGTTGTCTCACTGGAGAAAGTTCCTGAGCAACAAACAATCCTTAAAGTTAGTAGTTGCCCCTATGCGCTCCTGTTGTAAAAAAAAAAAAAATCTATATATAATGCAGACACAATTATATGTACATATACCATAATGGAATGTGATAGCCCTGCAGCTAATGTTACCCTTGTAAAAATAATCTTTAAGTTTGTGTATTGCTAAGGCTTACTGATGCTGTTGCAATTAACGGTGTAATGTGTTGTTTCCTATCCCTTGTACATATGGTTTCACTTGGGAAAAAACACATACCACATTGTTGCTTTGCTTATTGTTGTCTTAGCGTTTTCATCTTGAGAGAAATGATAGCTTTCTTGTCATCTTATCATCCACACAGACCCTATCTACAGCAAATATGTCTGACCAAACACCCTCTGGAGTTGGGATATTGGAGAGGTTATTAAATCGTCATCGAAATGTAGCTATTGAGGACTGAGCTGATCCAATACGGCTCTTTTACAGTGGACATTTTGATTTGTCAGAGCAGGTGTAGCACAAATATTGCTAAAAAAAAATAAAAAATGTTGAATTCACATGTCTCAGTAAGTCACGATAGTGTGACAGTGAGCCAAAAAATATCAGAGCCTTGAAAATCATGTGGGTAAATATAAATCACCCTTCCTTTATTTATTATTGAAAGCTGTTTCTACTGTCAAACTTAAAATGTCTTCCAAGAAAAGAAAAAAAGACAAGAAGTCGTGGTTATTTCCAGATTCAAATCTTGTAGCAAAAGCTGAGCTTGTAAATTGTAGTACGGTAAAAATGACTACAGAATCAAATCAACATCTAGACTCACTAGATTTTACTGTTCACATTTTGTAGCACAATCTGTCGGCGAAAAACAACAACAAAAGGCCCTGCACACCAAGAAAGAAGCTCTTATTTAGCCAGTGAGTAGAAATGTGTGGATGAAGAGGATTGTAGGTGGTTACAAACATTTCTGTTGTCATCTAGCAAAGTTGTTGCTGAAGAGATGAAGCGCACCTCTGCACAAAAACAGATTTGCTACCTCTCAAAAAGTAGCACCAGTTCACAGTGATGAGTGTGTGGGAACATGTCCACAGGTACCACCAGAGTTGGAGAAAATGCTTCTCCTGTGAGTTTCTTCTGCGGGTTAGGAGCACAGCAAAGCTCCTTGAAGTTTCTCATAGCCTCTCCATCTGGTTTACAGGAAACATAAACCAGCCTACGGATAGCTGGTTGGTTCCGTAAAGCACGGACCACTCTGTAGTGGAGGCCAGCTCGAGCAGGGTTTACCACAGCTGTAAGGCCTCCGCCTGTGGAGCTCAGCTGAGACATAAGGCCAGGAAGCACCACCTCTGCCTTCCCAGCGATAAACTCACAGTTCAGGACATTATTAAGAGCTGCGTTGTGTGTAGCATCTTCCACCGCCTGCTCTATGAGCTCTATACCGATTACTCTGTCCACTCTGGGTGATATAGTGATGCCGATGGCACCCGTCCCACAGCACACATCTAGTAGAGTACCACCAACCTTTGTTTGTCCTCCACCTTGGTCAGTGTTTGGGACACACAAGTCTCTCACTTTGCCATACAGCACCTGAGCAGCTGCCTGGTTCACCTGGAAAAAGGCATCAGCAGAGATGCGGAACTTGAAGTCCAGCACCTGAAAATGACAAAAAAAAAAAAAAGGGAACTGCAATAAAAAATAAATATAATGAAGTATATGTGGAACTGGAGCTGAGCTACCCACTCTTCTCGCCTTCATAAATTTAACATGAGGACACTATACCAATTTTACAGTAGTGGTCATGTTGCAACATGATGTGACAAAAGGAAACAGAGAAAATGATTCAGCTGATATTGACTGAGTGGCCTTTGCTTGAGCTACAAAATACGAATCTGTTTTATGTATTTGAAAGACATTTACCAGGTAAGGAGGGTCTAACAAAGTGTGCTATCACATTCTACTACAAATCCATTGTTTCTGAAACTTCTTCACCCACATCAACAACTAAAACTCAGGATTATGTAGCCTCTGCATTGATTTTGAGTCCTACAACTACAGTCAAGTCCATTGTGAATCAATGGGATACTCTAGTTTTATTTGAAGGTCACTGCTGACTTTTTATAGTCAAGTTTATTCATTAAACTGTTTGACATGTGCAGATTTGCATATTAGACCATTAATACTAGCTTTAAAAAGGAAATATTGCTTATAATTGCTGATTTTCCCCCCTGTCTCTTTATGTAATATAATGTCACTTAATGCAGCTGATGAAAATGTATCATCATTACTTTTCAGTGAGACGTGTGACATGTGTTAAAAGGTAAACTTGTTTGACAGCTGAATTTGCATCAAGACAAAAATGAATCATCAAAACAAGCACTTCAACATTCTTTGCTGCTGCTGGACAAGGGATTATGCAATGTGAAGTCCCTCACAGATTCTCAGTAACTTCTGTCTACATTACCTCCTCGTATATGTGTGGCCGGCCATGCAAGAGTTGGTAAGGCGATGCCTCGTGGGTGCAGCGAGTCATGCTGCTCTCCTGGAAGAACAGTGAGTCCAGCTGGCACACCGATCCAGGACCACGTGTGAAGTAGTCCACCAGGTCAGCCTTATGAGCTGCCACCTCTTCCGGGGTGAGCGTCTGTGGATGAAAGTACACTATAGCCATGGTGTGGCCCTCTTTATTGGTCCTCACCGTGACCTCTCTCCAGTGACCTCCGGTGTGGAACAGCAGGCAGGGCTCCAGTGAGGAGAGGCGAAGGAAGTCCTGGTAGCATCTGGCTACCAGTTTGTGCTTCTCCGGCATGTTGAGCAGGTGGTCTCCATTCACGCAGACGATATTTCCTTGTCTGCCTGTGCCCACGTAAAATCCAACAGTCTTTGGATTTCCATCAACTCCTCTGTTGACAGAAAATGTAGACTTGTTGCGGTAGCCATCTCTAACCGGCGATGGCAGAATAGGCAGGATAGGGACATTGAGATTATGTCTGACAGGGGATGAGGAATGTGGCTGGACGTCACCTAAAATATGCCCTGACAGCTGAGCCAGTATCTCCTCCTGATGCTTTTGCTTGAGCTCAAGCTGCTCATCATAACTCAGCCTCCACAGAGGGGTGACCACATCAGCCAGTCTTTCCTCCCAGGACAGATGGTCATCCTTGGGAGGTTTCTTGTGACTTTTTCTCCATATTTTTTTTGAAGGTGGTTTTCCTTGGTCAGCTGGAACTGAGTATTTATGTAAAAGCACCAGGGATGTTTTCCTCACAGAACACAGAGCAGTACGTTGGAAAGATATGACTGACCTGCTGCATGTAGCTGCCAAAGTCATTTTGACTTTTAAAGAAGTTCCTGTAATGACTGAGGACGCCGCAGGTGTCTGCTAGGATCACGAAGACGACACGTGCTGTTAAAAATAACAGTGAGTTTAGATATTTGGCTTTAAAAATAATGTTATTCCGCGTGTGAATGAAATGCACGATGGAGGTTGAAGACCTGTTGTAACGTCTTATTTACGAGACAGACAGCTTTGCGACGTCATCACCCTGCGTCCTGGGGCAAGTAAACATTTCCGCTGTGTCGCGATGGACTCAAACAAGGACGAAGCGGAGCGGTGCATTAAAATAGCCCTAAATGCGGTCAGCAACAACCAACCGGACAAAGCCAGGAAGTTTCTGGAGAAGGCACAGCGTCTATTTCCGACAGACCAGGCTAAAAGTACGTCGAGTAAATGTCTGTTCAGGCGGTGACTTTATCTCGGATGGTGGGCCATTGCTGTGAAACCAAATCAGCTAACGTTAGCATAACCGTCTTAACGTTACAACAGCTGCTCCCCACTGACGCTGGTATTTGTAGTTTTTTCAGCCCCCACCTGCATTTTTCTTGACTACATTTGACTAGTTAACGTCATATATTGGTGCTTTGTCGAAGTTTACATTATTTGGAAACGTTCTTTGTAGCAGTTACAATGCTAACCATTAGCTCACTGTGGTAGGTAGTGGATTAAGCAACTGGGAAACATTAACTCAGGTGGCTGCCTTGTGTAATATTGCCACACGCTCTTTACAGATTTATTGGAGTCGTTAGCGCAGAATGGAAAGCCTCCAGACGAGAATGGCAGTCCTGTGAACGGAGATGGACCTGCAATGAGGCACCGCGGTGACAGAGAGGAAGCTAATGCGTCCGCACAGGGGGCCACCGAATCAGCCAAACCATACACATCAGAGCAGCTGGACGCTGTCAGAAAGTCAGTGCATGTTGATGTAATCTTCTGATTCATTTAAAATATAGTTCCACCCAGGAAACAGTAGAGCTAGATTATGCTGACAAACCTAAATGTAAGTTACTATTGCTGAGTTATTCATTGGGAATATTTTATTGATAAATCAATCTGATCACGAGGCTTGGAATGTGGTGTGACAAAATATGATCACTATTGGGATGTGGTGACCAAGCTGGTAAAAGCGATCGTCGATGTCACTCAGCTGCAGTAGTCGAATAAGGTGAATCATTAAAAAGTTAAGAGAAATGTCAGACAAAAAAATGTGAATGCAGTAAATACTGAAGTAATTCAAAGACAAGCATTTTAAGTCAAACACATCTTCAGTGACATAAGAATAATTGGAAATGGCAAAATCAAGTGCACAAAATAAAGCCAGGTTACTATGTCCAAAGTAATCTCTACGCTGATCAAATGTTCACTGTGAGATTTAAGTTGTCTGACATGAATAGAGAAAAAACAGCACTCTCAGAAATCCAAACAAAGTGCACCAGTGGAATGTGATCATTTCAAAAGCATCACAGAGTTAGCGTACACATTGAGGTGTCTGTTTCTGTTATTATGTCTAGCCTGATTAGATATTCAGTGTCACGTTATTGTCTCAGGAGTGTCGCCATATATTGTGTTTTCAGCGCTTGATTGTTTTTTTTTTTGCTCAATCTGCTAAACATCTTTGTTTTTTTACTACAGGATTAAAAGCTGTAAAGATTACTACCAAATTCTGGGAGTTGAAAAGACTGCCTCAGAGGAGGATCTTAAAAAGGCTTACAGAAAGCTAGCGTTGAAATTTCATCCAGATAAAAATCATGCACCTGGAGCCACAGAGGCATTTAAAGGTAAATTTAAAGTTATCTCTGTAGCTGTACTCTGGAGAACATGGAAACATAAGCTTACTGACTGTAAATTTGTGTTGCATTTTGTGTGTGTATCTTTCAGCTATTGGTAATGCCTACGCTGTTCTGAGTAACGCTGACAAACGAAGGCAGTACGATCAATATGGAGAGGAGAGGACGCACCCAACCAGACACAGACACCATCGTGATTTCGAAGCAGACATCTCACCTGAGGACCTTTTCAACATGTTCTTTGGTGGCGGTTTCCCATCAAGTAAGTAGGTGCCAGAAGAATATAGTATCAGTTTGTACTTTGGTACAATGTTATCGAGACCTAAAAGTCGTTTGTCCTTTTATATCTGGTTTACTCGCCATGAAAACAAGCCAGACATGTAATCCTTTGTGGTGCATAATATGATTTTACTGGCAATCATTACATGCAATTTCTATGCTTTCCATTTGACGATTTCCTAAAGCATGCTAAACGATTTCTTTCCAAGAAGTTTTAGGCTACTCATCGTGCCAGAATGGGAGATAACCCGTTCAGCTGGGGTTTTTTTGTCATTTACATTTAATTGAATTTACTAAACGGGACTGTTTTTAAGACTCAACTGACACAGTACGGCATCGGTTGGCCAGCACCAGTCACTGGGCTTCGTTTCGCCGTCACCATTAGTCTCTGTGCTGTGTCACTTGTCAGCTCTTATCAGCTGTCATTCTCTGGATGGAGGCAGTGAGCCAAAAACTTCTGAGTGCTGTTCAGCCTTGTGAATCTACTTATTTTTTCACCCTGTACTCTTATCTTCCACAAGCTAAAACCACAGGCGGATGGCAGAGGCTAGCTTTACAGCACCGTTATCTTATTGTTAACACGTGAGAAGATTGTTTTTATCAGATTCACAGCTGACTGAATGCGGTTGGCTAGTTTTGTTTACCCTTCTGAGATGTTCACTGGTGTTGAAATACGGACTGCTCAGGAGTTATTTTGTCTGTTTTTTCTGTAATTACTGTATCATTTGGACTGCAGCATAATGCAGTGCATACACAATTTCGCATAAACAAGCTACATAAACAGCGACTGATACTGTCCTGAAAACCAGACTGGTCCTTACCAAATAACATGGTTTAGTGAACCTTACCGTGTAATTTATGACGTTTCCTAAATACGTCGTCGTCTCTGGTTGTGTATGTGATAATCATCGTGCTGTCATTGACTTGGCTGAAAAGGTACATACAAGCACACTTAATCCTTGATTTTATATGGGTTAGAGTCACGGCACTTCTGAGTTCTACATCTTTTATCTTTATTCTCTTCAATTCTTTTCAGGTAATGTACATGTTTACAGAAACGGAAGAATGCACTTTGCACATCATAATAGGCAAGAACGACGAGAACAACAGAGAGATGTAAGTCCCGTCTATAACACTTTAATTACACTCAATTTTAATACCAGTTGATGTATTGTATGATCTGTAATAAACAGTAATCGAATGGATTTTTTTTTCTGTTTCTGGACAGGGAGGTCTGGCTCTGTTTGTCCAGCTGATGCCCATCTTAATTCTCATCATTATTTCTGCTCTCAGCCAGATGATGGTCACCCAGCCTCCATACAGCCTTAGCTACCGCCCGTAAGTGGTTTGTTGTATGAAAAGCATGTACAAGTTGTGTGAGTGTGTCAAAGCACTCACTCTCAACTACGTGTGTGTTTACCCTGTTCATACAGTTTGTACTATCTACACTATTTATACTGTTTATACTGCTCATACCACTATTTATCTCTACCTGTAGATTTAGATGATTTTTTCTGTTGTATCCACATCTATATCATACATTAGTGTGTTCATGGTGCCCTGTCCACACTGTTCATTCTGTTTATACTGTATCATACTGTTTATACTGTATATACTCTACTGTAAAAGTGCACTTTACTGCTGCTTTTACACTTCTGGTTCGAAGCTAAACTGCATTTCGTTGCCTTAGTACTTGTACTCTGCAATGACAATAAAGCTGAATCTAATTATTATTATTATATCTTCTCTGTATTAGGTCAGCTGGACATATTCACAAAAGGCATACAACAAACCTGAAGGTGCCTTTCTATGTCGGCGAGCGCTTCAATGAAGAATTTTCTGCGAATAACCTAAAGAATGTTGAAAGAAGCGTAGAAGAAGACTACATCTCCAACCTCAGAAACAACTGTTGGAAGGAGAAGCAGCTGAGTGAGTTTTCAGTAGGGCTGTACTTCACAGTTGTTTATTGAACTGCTGGTTCACAATGTTACGCTGCCCAAGTTTACATATTACAATTGATTATTTTGTCTGACTAAAGTCACTGAGTTCACTGTCAGTAGAGATGAAAGAAAAAACAGAAAATACTTCAGTAATCAGTCAATGCTTTTTTCTTTTTTTTTTTTTTGCTGTAATAAACTGAACAATCACTTATCAACATCGCTTCCAACTAAATACCTGCTTAATTTAATCCATCCATTATCTATACACCGCTTAATCCTCACCAGGGTCGTGGGGGGCTGGAGTCTATCCCAGCCGACTGAGGGTGAAGGCAGGGGACACCCTGGACAGGTCACCAGTCTATCGCAGGGCTACACTTAGAGACAGACAACCAAGCACACTCACATTCACACCTACGGACAATTTAGAATCTCCAATTAACCTCAACATGTGTTTGGACTTGTGGGAGGAAGCCGGAGAACCCGGAGAGAACCCACGCTGCATGGGGAGAACATGCAAACTCCAGGCAGAAAGGTCTCAGTGCCCCCACCGGGACGCGAACCAGCGACCTTCTTGCTGCGAGGCAACAGTCCTGCAAACTGTGCCAACTTGCATATTGAACAGCTATGTAAACTAAATTAATCGATGAATTAGATTAAGCAGGGCTGCAAGGTGGTGCAGTTGGTAGCACTGTTGAGGTGAATTGGTGATTCTAAATTGTCCGTAGGTGTGAATGTGAGTGTGCTTGGTTGTCTGTCTCTAAGTGTAGCCCTGTGATAGACCGGCGACCTGTCCAGGGTGTCTCCTGCCTTCCCACTAAGTCAGCTGGGATAGGCTCCAGCCCCCCCGCAACCCTAGTTAGGATTAAGCGGTGTATAGATGATAGATGGATGGTTAGCTGTTCAATATGCCACCTGGATTTAAAATGGTTATCTTTTTTTGAGTTTGTAGTTAAGTTCATAGTTAAAAATAAATAAAAGCACCTTTGAGTTCATTTTAACAGCTTCTAAGGGTGTAATTGAAGACTTTTAGTTTATAGCAGCTGATGTAAAGCGACTGAATTGTCATTGTTGTTTTAAGACAGCTGATTTTTGTCTACAGCACTGACATACTCTGTTTTTGTACTTCCAGAGGAAGGCTTACTCTACCGTGCTCGATACTTTGGGGATTCGGAGTTGTACCAAAGAGCACAGAGAATGGGGACTCCCAGCTGTTCCAGACTATCTGAGATTCAGGTTATACTGGATGGCTAGAAACCACTTGCACACATATGGGTAAGTTGCTGCAAACATGACAGTGGCATTACAGTATAATTGTTACTGTAAATTGCACATGAACTGCAAAGACTTAAGGGTTTTGCATGCTTTATGCAGCTATCTAAAGATCTCACACATACACTCCATTAATTGAGTCCAACCTTTTAGGCTGCTGTTTACAATCACTTTAATCTAATACAGCGAGCATTTAGTCAGCTTTATTTTTGTCCATTAACTTCGTGTGGCGTGGTAATGCTGCTGCAAGCTGGGACTGACACCAGATATACAAGAGTCATGTGCAGTGTCTCAGATGTCAGAGTTTCCCACAAGCACTTCACAAGCAGAGTTTTTAAAGCAAGCCCTGCTTACAACTACACTATAACAGAACTTTGAACGATAACAGTACATCAGTAATGGCAATTGATGGGTCACGTATAGATTACCTGTCTTGAACAAGGGTCAAGTTCATTTAAAAATACACTGAAATGAGCAAAAAGTCTGTGACTGCCTTTAGTTAGAAAATACATTACAAATAGATAATATGATTTTACAAACTGTAAACATTTATTAAAAGTGTAAAATACCAGCAGTAAACTGGTTAAAACATGCCAAATTATCTGTATAATAAGATTTTTTTTTTTTAAGTGAGAATTAAACAAGCAATAGTGAATATGAATGGATTTTGAAGTAACATAAGTATCTGAACTCATCAAAAAAGTGACGCCGCATTTCTGCCTCTGCTTCTCTTGTTTTTCCTCAGGTTCGTCAGTACTTGAATCTAATTAGAAGAAATCGGTCGGAGCCCACTCAAATTGGAGCATATTTCTGCAGCAAACCAAGAGAATCAAAAATGCCTTACGCGCAGTGGGCAGCAGACCTCATCAGGGAACCTCTCTGCAACCTAATGTAGATTGACTTCCTGTAGAACTGTGAGAAGCTTTGAGTTGACTGCTGACATTATCTTACTCTAGTGTCTTTACAATGGCGGGAGTCCGCTGGGAATCACGGTGGAAAGTAAGAGCATTGTTGTCTATCTGAACGGTAAGCGAAGCTGCTAAGATTAGCTTTCTCTGTCCCAATCTTTTTGTTCTCCTTAAACATTTTGAGAAACCTCATGGCCTTCTCATAGACAGATGTCTGAGCCACTCATAAGGAAAGTGTGTAATTTTTATAGTTCCTACCAATGTAAATATTCATTTTACTTTTAACAGTGCAGGGTTTATTGAAGTCATTTACAAAAAAAACGTTATGTGGATTTGCTTGTAGCCTGTTGGATCATTATTATTGAAAATTGTTGCACAAATAAAAGTAAACCATATTTATTAAATTAACATGCTAATATTGTATAAAAAGTTTCTTTGAATTAAATTTGTCCAATGATTGACTGGTGCATAGTCTGTCTTTTACAGCACATGTCTTTGTGTCATAAATCCATGCTTTTTCTATGCAGGTTTTGAGTATGTTGTGTCTTTTGGCTGGAGCAAAAACAAAATGAATTGAACTCAAAACAGACTAAATGTGTTTAAGTGTGATGTTGATAGACACTATCCTGCATGAGTGCAGTGTGCAAAGAAGAAACTCACAACTGAATAGACTAAATTGTGTGTGGTGGTGAGACAGCTCTAGTGAGATCTACAAAAAGAAACACATTGATGTCTGTGTGTTCAATTTATTTATGGATGAGTTTGATTGACATCCCTGTTGGTATAAATTGTAAAATATTGTAGTTCTTTTATGATGTGTGGATATGGGACACAATGAGAGGGAAGAAAACTCACAGCAACACAGCAAATTCATAGAAAATAATTTATTCTTTCATGTTCCCAAGTTGTCAAAAAATACAAAACACATAAGTAGCAGGTGGCAGTATTTGACTTTCAAATACATAAGCCATTCCCTTGAAGATGTAGCTTTACATTCATAGAATAACAGACCCATGTTCAAACTAGTGCCTTTGTTAGGTCACCCTAAACCAGGTAAGTAGCTGCCATCAGACATAAGTTGGTTCCAGGAATAACCATGTTACACATCAACAACGATGGTTGTTTCACTGCATCTTGACAGTGCCGTTTGACAAGTACATTGGTGTCTTTTAACAAAAAGAAAAAACTTCTTAACCCACCAACCTCTTTTCACAGTTCACATGAATTTAGTTCATCTTATCAGGGAGAGGAGCTCTTAGTCAGCAGCACTCCTCAATCAGCAGCTCCCCTGAGCAGTACAGTTTCCTCTTGATAGCCCTGAAGCTCGTACTCAGCTTCAGGGTATTGTGGTGCCTCACAGGCGTTGTAGATGTCTGTGGAGACTTGTTACTCTTAAAGAGCTTCTGAACCTTTGGCCACAATCCACTGGACTCGGGTCTCAGAACCAGAGTCACCTGGAAGGTTGGAACCAGAGAGGGATCCACTGCTATTTGGTCTACAGTGCATAAGGAGCCCTGCTCCCCCATGTCCACACACAGGTCGATAAGTGCTCCTTTGAGGCCACAAGGCTCGCTGACAGCCAAGTGGAGCAGCTCTTGAGTGATGTTGTGCAGGAGACAGTCTGGAAGGATGATTTTGGAGCAGTCTAGGATGTGTGATGCATTGTTGAGACTTTGTGCAATGATGGCCACAATGTCTGCTGCCAGGGTCTCCTCCAGGGGATAACAGAGGAAGCTGCTGTCCAAGTCTGACAGGGACAAGTCTGCCACGGATCCTGAAACAAAGGAGTCGAGGTTACAATCCAGTCTGAGAGTACAGGATTCATCCTAAACTTCTTACTCAGTTTTCTGGCGATTAAAAAAGGAGGATTGGGCAACAGTAAAAGCCTATTCCTCCCATCCCCTTTGTTAAGCCAATTACGCTTTCTTATCCTTAAAAATGCAGGTAGAGAAAAAACGACTTCTTGGTGACTATGTGCATCAAATCAAACAAAATCTTCCTCAGACACTCACCATTTTCACTCCTGCAGCACTGGTCTGCTGTGACCCTCTGGTTGATCCCCTTCAGCTCGGTCAGTCTGTGCAGCAGACTGCCCCAGGACAGCCTCTGAGAGCCCCCGTCCTCCGCTGGGGAAGGAGGAAAGCTGCCATCCAGAGACTGATCGCAAGAAAAAGACATTTTTTATATATATAAAACAATGAAAACTAAGATCCGAATGCAAAGGGTTAAAAAAAAAATCTTCAAAGTGCAGTGGTGTCCACTACTAGTGGGTCCCCCCCCTCTCGTGAGCCAGACCAGCTGGAAAACACACTCCGCAACAATGGAACAAAGCGTTAAATACCCCAAGCCAGGACGCCCCGCCCACCGCATTTCTCCACCAATCAGGCTGCAGCTCACGTCCTCAGCGCTCTGTCCTGCCTGGTAACGTTCGTGGCCCTTTGAAGAGGAGGCAAAGGCCAAACCCCCCCCGGCGGTGCAGGCGTAGGAGCCCCCTGACCAAACTTCTGCAGAAAACTTTGTTTTTTTTGTCTCTCAATAATTTACCATTTAAATATGAAACCAAGCAACAAAACAAAAAAAAAAACAAGTCAATCAGCGACCCTCGCATGAAACAATGAAAAAGACACACCCACCCAGATTTGGAGCAGAAAAGCAATGTTGAAAGAAACTGAAAACGCCTGATTCATGAGAAAGGCAGCTGAAGCTCACACGTATCGCACGTACACCTCGTGTTTTTGAGTCAGAAACCGTGGAGATTGCGATTATTCGGGCTTTTTTTTGCAATCAGTGAATGATTCACGAGCAATTCCAGCTATAGTGAATAACACTGATGCGATCCAAAGTAAATAGTTCTCCTAAGAATTAAACCAAGATCTACACTAAATCACTAAAATGATCAAGAGCTTGTTTTTTGTCATTTATTCTTGTTGGTTTTGAGTATTTAGATTCAATGTGTTAGTTGTTTTCACACATTGTCAGTGTGTTTGTTTGGTGTTGTAGGGGTGCAGTTTTACAAGATCATGTTGTTCACTTAAATCCATGGGTACATATATATGTGTGTATCTGATGATGAAATCTATCTGTAAATCCTGAGAACCAAACTTTTCCAACAACTCCTCTGACTCCTGACTTGTGTCATGTACACATACCCAGACCATCCCCCACTCCTTGAAAAGACTCCACTTCTGTCAGTAGATGGTGTCTGCTTTCCAACTGTTTCCAACTGTGTGGCTTTTGTCTTTACAGTATTGTGTCTGTTTTTGCATTACTTTGACCTATATCTCTGGTATATCCATTCAATATGTTGTAGGAACATATGTTTGTTGGACAGACACAGACCTTTGTAGGGCCCCAAGTTTGACTTTGTAAGAAAAACAAGTGAGACCAGAGTCGCCTCCATGAAACTTAATGATAGAAAAACTTGAGTGTATGTATCTTTGTATGCATTTAAACATTATAAATCCCACTTAATATACTGTTTTGGGTCAAATTTGACTCGTTTTGACATTTGACAGCAGTAAAAAATACCCTAAACATCTTTTTTTTTTTTTAGCCTGAAATTTGATTACTTTTCCTAAAGTGACCCAAAATACACAAAAGTGGAAATATTTTAAAGTTTTATACTTTTGTACAGGCGCTACAAATGTTTGTACTCTGACTGTTTTGGGACTAATTTGACCCGTACACATGGAGATGGATTTCAGCTCTACCAGTGTGGGTCAAATCAAGGAAGTTGTTGGTTTTAGGAAATCTTGAAACTGTGAAACTGTACAGGTCATGTTTTGTGTGTATCTTTTATTTACATTTATTAATGTGGCATAGGCTATTTAGACATTTTAAATAGATCTTTAGTTTAAAATTTGGTATAGGCGCTTACTATGGGGGAATTCTTGACAGGAATAAAATATGAACAGCATGTATGGGTTAAAGTGTATATGTAGCTGACACAATGGGGA